GCCCGTGTTTGCATGACTTACCGACCATGTGCATTTTACTTGGCCCGCATGCGTCCGCGAACGCCTGTGCGCGCATTTCAAAATTTCAGGGTACAACAAACCAAGGTGTATGTATACTCGTGCCCACTTATGAGTGCGAGTGCTTGCACAGCTGCTCCTGTCGTGGGTGTTCAGCCACCTCTCTTCCACGCATGCACAAAGCTCGTCTACGTTGCTTTGAGTCAAGCCACCACACTAGAAGGACTGTTTTTAACAAACACAGAACAGCCCTTCACCTTTCATCATGGTAGAGAAAATCCGGATTGCATGTTGCCGGACAAATTTCGCCGATTGAAAACTCATCGACTTGATACAATCACCGCCAAGTGCTCCACCATCCTCCAGTAACCACGCACATTCGCAGCATGAACATACGCTCGTTGCCCGCGCACGCCGTCGACGTCTCGCACGATCTAGTCGTCTGCGAGGTACCTCAACTGTGTTTCACGGAAACGTGGATAGACATTGCCACCAAACTGCCAGGATGCTGCAAGTGCATCAGCCTCGCAAAACGGCAATACCGCCGAGCTGCGGGAGTCGCCATTTACGAACGCTTCGACGGGATAACGCTTTTACCGCGCAGCGTTTTATACCAACTGAACTCGCTGCCTCAGGTGACTTGTGGTGATGCATGTGCCATCAAAACATCACATGGCTTTGTCGTCGCAGCAGTCTACATCCCACCGGGAACCTCGCAGGACGACATCATTGAGTTCTTGCTCCACAAGTTCTGTGCGGTGGGCAAAGAGGATATGCCGGTGATCGTTACAGGAGACTGCAATTTGAACGTACTTCGATGCCAAAATGAGTGGCATGAGGCGTTTCTCGGTGCCCAACTTGGGCTTCACCTGCTGCTTGACGTCACACAACCAAGTACACACAACATTACGTGTGTTAGGAAAGAGTGTTGCGTCACGAGTGCTCTGTGTGCCATTGCCAGCATACTTCAATGATCATAAGGTGGTTGTTGCTGTCATCGAGTGAACTGTGTTTCATTTATGTTCACCAATGTCTATATCAAACAATATTTGGGCTGCCTTTATTTCACACACACTATTAAATGCGTAATTTATTTCGCCATGTGAGTCTTGCATTACTATCAGTGCGAGCACACCCGGAAGAGGGTTTCAGCCCATATAGATGTGCTCTACACATAAACTACCACCAGCGGCGACACACGACGTATAGCCTTTACTACTGCAGCATGCCCTGCCCACGGGAGGCGCTTCTCACCAACGCCGTCACTACGCAGGAGCCTTGTTGTGGTCATCTAATGTGACCGCGCCAAAGAAAACCTGGTTACATAGTGAGCGCATGTGTACTAGAATTATTATTGCCCTTAAAAATACTAGCCTTGCTTTGTAAAACATTCGAATATGTTGCTAACGCATTCATTGTTTCGCCCTTTTGGCGAAGCTGTGACTTGTTTTTTTAGAAACTGCCTTTTTGAGTTCATGTTAAAACAAGGCATTGCCCCCTTTTTATTATAGTTGTTTGAGAAGTTGAAGATACTTAAGATGGCTTTAGGTTCTCGTGAAATTTAGCGTAGTTTTGGTTTCTGCATCTGAAATAAAAAACGACACACACACATTATATATATATATATATATATATATATATATATATATATATATATATATATATATATATATATACACTGCATTCCGCATTTCCTCCCATGTCGTCCAAATTTCGAAGGGGTGGTCGTCACGATGGCCTGCAACCAATGCGATAACTCCGCGTCAGCGGTATCACCTGCTGTGTTCATATTCTCCGGGTGACTACAGCAATTCGCAGCGCGGACGTGACATGCAACCACCACCTCGACACAGTCAGGGTCGTCCACCAGAGTACAGGACAGTTCAACGGGACAGCTCGAGGCGTACACATGGCCCGCCACCATGGCACTCCCAGTGCCGCCCCCCAGAGCAGTTGCGAGGACGTTGGAGCAGACAGCGGTGGTAGGACTTCATCGACGTCGCCTTCTCAATCGCTGGTTTGCTTCTCGGTGGGCTATTCAATTATGCCGCGAGGAAAAGTAATGGCTGTACGTGACACATGGGCTATCTTGAAATGCTGCCGACCACAAGTACTATAGCAGTTTCGAAATGTTCACAATGCCATAATTATGCTTCCGCAAATCACCCACTATGCATCCGTGCACGCGCAGCTGTACGCTTTGTTGATGCTGTTACCGATGCTAATAATTAATTCTGCCTGATCCCTTTGCGGTACTTACCCACGGAGCAGAAACATGGGGCCTTACAAAAGGGTTCAATTGAGATTGAAGACGACGTAGCGAGCCATGAGAAGGAAAATGATAGGTGAAACCTGAAGGGACAAGAACGGAGCATACTACGTCAAGGATCAAGCGGATGTTTAGGACATCTCAGTCGAAATCAATAGGAAATGGACAGAGCATGCACTGCGTATGCGAGATAACCGCTGGACATGAAGAGCAACTGACTGTATTGCAAGAGATATTAAACGCACGACCAAGAGGTGGACAGATTAGATTATGAAGTGTGCGGGTATATCGAGGCCGCAGCAAGCACATGACCGGCTTGGTTGATGCGACAGGCCTTTGTCATGCAGTGAGCACAGCCAGGCTGATGCCGAGCGTATTGCAATATGTGGCAGTGAGATGTGTTTTAAGCTTCTTCCGCGCAATAATACGTGACGCAGCACTTCGCATTATGTTCAACACTTGGATAGATTTTTTGTTTGTTTGTTTAAAGAACTGCATGGCGTGGCTTGCCAGCAGAGCACCATGAACGTTACTTGCCAATTACCCCAATGTATGCTAAACTTGAACCACCCAAAGTCATCGACAAACGTGCTATTGGTGAACGTAATGATTCCGGAAATAACTATATTTGCTGGAAAAGTACAAATGAGCCCAATAAACGCAACAAACAACTGGAAAATTTTGAATGTGACTCGATGAAAAAAGACGAAAAAACGCCATGAAGAGCACAGGCGCATCCTTTGGAAATACCCTTTGTGGGGCCTTGCGATGGGACGCCACTGTCCGACCGAACAGCCGGCGCGATCGGGCAAACCGAACATATTTGTTCAACTACACTTACGACCATATCGTCAGCTGCCACATTGAATACGTGATATGCTACTCAATCAAGATAACAAATAATTTCCGGAGCCCTCCACTATGGCGTCTCTCATAATCATACGGTGGTTTTGGGACGTTAAACCGCACATATCAATCAATCAAGATAACAAATAAACACAAGGTAACGCGAAGGCGGCGTCGCGACTCACCATGACATGGGACACGACCCGCAGTCGTAGTATTCCGTGGAGGAGGCATCCTGCTTGATCGCCACCCCAACGCCAAAAATACTCCCTAACCTTTCTGTGTGGCAACATAGCCTCACCGCCGGGCGCCGCAGTCCTGCACGACCCCGCTAACCATAACGATTATGATGGTGAGCACTGCACCACCTACCGCTCAGCGGCTGTTAAGCCTAAATGCAGCCTAAGCGCGAGATACGCGTGCACCACGAGGCGCAAACGAGCTTTGATAGCACACGCTAGACAGAGGGAAAATATACACCCTCATCAGAGATTAAGGCAAAAGCCTGCGGTGCCTCGCTGCTCGGTTTCTTGAACGGCAAGAGAATGAAGTGATGCAACAAGCCACTTAGTCGGGTGCAACTTTACAGGTCCTCCTTGAAAGCGGGTGCCCACGAGTCTCAACCAATGGGCGTGCACTCCGCAGCGACGTCATGAGCAAGACGGCTGGTGACTCCGCCCACGGAGAAAATAGCAGCGTGCATGAGTGGGACTGTGTTTGATCGCCATGCCTATAGGTCATCTGAGTATGTTGTGTCGGATGATGTATCACCGTAAATGCTGTGGCATCACCACGTGTCGGCATTGCGACACATCACACGTCACAGATACTCGAAATTTATGACGTCATAACGACATCATCATGCGATGTCATCAGTTGACATTGTCGCAAGCTTCAAATTGGGCGAATGGTAGGAGGACGCATTCGACTGATAACAACGTTGATTGAAGGGCAAAAGTGAGCGTGTTGTTTTCATCGCTTTTTCTCGAAATGTAGAATGCACCGATATCGTTGGGCGAGTGGTGACGCTATATTTGTTAAAGTTTCGTTTCTACGGACTGTTTTCGGACTAGAGCGATACACAGTGGCTGTTTTTGTGTTCACCACGTGGGAGTGAGGGCATAGGCCGCGCGTTTTGATTGGTACGACGCTACAAGTCACGCGTAATATTCACATGGTCCCAGATAGCCACATATTGTTCGCTAACAATCATAGAAATAGCCTTTACGCTTCTTTAGACACAAGAGAATTTATTTTCTTCATATATGAAAGTATGAAAACAATTGCAAAACGACGCTAGGAGCGCTGCACAACGGCCGCCAATAAAGTCACAGAGCCAACACGCGGCGGGGCGCGAGGTTTGCGCGGTTAAGGTGGTTGGCAAGGGAGTGATTGGCCTTTGACGTCAGTGGGATGCGAAAAAGAACGTTTTTTATCTTGTCGTGTGCTGGAGTATTGAAGGTTGAAGGCCTTCTGTTACCTTGCACCGATATCATTTTTTTTTTGCGTTCATCTCAGTATTCAGCCCTAGACGAACTCCAGCGCAGCAGAATGAAGACTAAAAAGCGTCGCAGGGCCTCTTTAAGGTAGTTACGGCCTTATTGTGTCTTGGAAGCCTGCTCCCCGACGCTACAAAATGGGCAATATGCGTCTGGGACTCGCCTCGAATCATTTCTTTCGAATGCGGTTGTTCCCGAGAGATTGACGTACGCTATGCATTCGGGGCACACGTTGAACAGCATCTCTGGTGGCATAATCCGCGCCCGCACCAGCGCCGTGCCGAGGTGGGCCTTTCTCCTCCACCGGAACTGGGTCACTCGACGCCGTTCACGAGAGCGTTGCGCTGCTCTCCCCGCGTATATAAGCGCCCATTAGAGGGAAACGTCACACTCCGTCCGACTCCACCGTAAAGACTGTGCTGTGCTTTCCACTTGCCGCGCTGCTGGGATTACACACGTGCAGTGGTGTGCCGACTCTGTTGTCTTCGCTACGATAACCATGCGGATAGTGGTACGTACGCCTAGCTTCCTTCCGGGTTACGTTGCTTCTTACGGCGTGGCTACATCCTTGTGCAATCAGTAAAGCGAGGGCGGCTCACGTAACCGCTGTTTTGATCGACACTTTCCGGAATGACCAATGGCGCTTTGCAATACAAGGACGCGCTCGGGCAAGCGTCTTTCGGGCATTTCCGCACGCACACAAGGCTCCGATAATTTCTGCTCTGTGAGAAGCTCACATCTCCGACGGGGTCGAAGTTGCTTAAGGGTGAATTTGTGTGGCTCCTTCCATCTGGACATCGCTAGCATGGCCAGCTTTCACATTACAACATATTGCAGGTGGTTCAGACAACAGGCCCTATACTTGCTCGATTGTGCATCGATTCTCTTTTTTTTTTATTTCACTGTGGCTGGGTGTAGCCGAGGCAGCAACAATATTGCCCACCAACGCGTTCCAGCCTAATAAAGACCTGGGAACACTGCCGAAGTATAAAAAAAAAATGGCTACGATATGCAGGGTTGAGGCGGCACTTCGGCTGTGCTCGAGTTCATATTTTGAGCCTTTAATCGCAGTGCTTCGTTGAAGACCAAAATTCGATTGCTGCTTATCGCCTCATAGTTTGACGAATTTCAGTGACGAAAGAGCGAATGTATAGTTGCGGCGCGCGTGCAAACGTCCAGCCCGTTCAGCGAGCCGCATCAGATTTCATTGTTTATTTAAAGATAGAGGATCTTTCCAACGAGCCAAAGGTCGAAGGCGGGAAGTTTTCACGCGTGAGAAGACATTTATATAGCGTGCGCGGCGAGAGCTTACGAGCGGAGACAGCAATGCCTCCATTTTTCATTCTGGAAGTCTAGATACTGTGGCCTTATCTTCATTTTATCCATGAAAACATAAATATCAAAAACACTCCGTTTACATGTGAAAAATGCTCGTACGAATAGCAAGCTCTCCAGTCAACTTATAGTCCAACGTATCTAAAGTTGAAATTTAAAAATTGTAAACTGACTCGACGTTTCGGTACCGATTCGGTCCCTTCTTCAGGTTTGACTGCTCGGCCGGCTTCAAAGCTAGCATTTTATTTACAGCGAAATTTGTTATAAGATCATAACTCGGGTCTCGCGCAGCGTCGTGAATATAGTAGCTCGCCGTCGTCCATAACACATCCCGCGAAATTAGACAAAAAAACCTAGTACCAATGACACAGTGGGGCTCAAACCCGGATCCGCTGGGTGCCAGCCCAGTATTGTACTACTGAGCCACGCCTTAGGCAGGCTTGATGTCGGGGAAGCAATCGCGTAAATACGACTTAAAAAGCGTTTTGAAACAGCGAAATAACAAGCAGTCGTCGCACAATGCGAATTGCATAACGAGTGGGTCGTCCAATGCTTCAAGCCATTACGAAATATTGTTTTTGCTCAGCTATTAACTGTAGCGCATACCCACTTAAGGCATGATTCCCCATCGTTGTCGGCCTCTGCATGAACGATTGGCACAAAAATTCCTGGCAATAGTTTCGCGGATATACCGCGCTTCTCAGAAGAATTACGAGAAATAGAATAACGAATACCGCCATAAAATTTTTATTATTAATGCCATAATGGGCATCAAGCAAGTCTGCTTGCAGCAGTTACCCAATGAATGTTTTGAAACGGCTCCGAAAGGCTGCTCTTCTAGCTTTCACTGTGACTGTGCTGCGCCTTCCGCGCAGGCCTGGCGTTTTTTTAAACCCTAACAATAGAAAACTTGGGCTGTATGTTGGCTGAAGAGGTTATGTTATTCGTATGAAATTTCACCCAGCCATACCTGTCGAATATGTTCACCTTTGAAAAAAAATGCTTATTCAAATATCGGCAGATTCGCATGAGTCACATGTAATCGCTATTAAACAAGGGACTCGGGAACTAAAGCGCGTTTGCTTTCAATTAACAACGTTAGGTTTCCAGAAATTACCCATGAATTATTTTAGCAAATTCACTTGTGCAACACTTGAAAGCGAATACAGCAGCAGTGTTGGAAAGCCAACTTTCGGCTTCACAGGCGCTATTTGCTTCTTTCAAACGATGGTGCTTTTCTGTCAAACTCGCACATGTTGTTAAAAACATTCTGATTGGCGGCATTGTAAGCCAATCAGAGGCAGCTTTCTGGGCGAATCATAGACGACCGACAGAGGTATTTAACGCGTTGGAATTCCAAAGTGTCCGGAATAACACCTTGAGTCGCGTTTAATGAGAACGCAACTTTGTCTGCACACACTGCTGCTCAACCGCAGGCAGTCCATCATTAGTCTATTTCATTTTTCACAATGCACGCATATGGTTTTCTAAAATTAACAAGGTGAGACTCTGGCGCTGCGATCGTTCAGCGACCATGGTAGGTAGTACACAGATTTGCCTAGTCTTCGTACTTGCGGGCCTGGAATCCCACTTGTGGCTTCGTTTATTGCTGTGTTTCGTTTTTTTTTTTTGAAGAAAATGAAGAATTATTTTTAACTTCGTGACTCAATTTGAAATGGTAAGCCTAAAAGGTTAAGGTAGTGAAGTCCTCAATATTTGCCGATTGTCGTTTCGTGGCAAAGCAAGCTCAAGCTACGCGAGGCCAACGGGAGCCAGAAGTACGAAAATGAGACAAATCTGTGTGCTATACCCATCATTCCCATGCTCGCTGAAGCACCGTGCGTTGCAGCTGTCACAGACACTAGCGCCAGAGTTCCCTCTATGGTACTTATAGGAAAGTGATCGCATGCATGAGGTCAAAAACACGCCACCGAGGAAAAAAGAACAGCTTTCGAATGCGTTTCTAAATTTCTTGAAACGCTAGCATAAATAGAACGACACCCCGCGTTTCGAGAGACCATGCGAAATTAAAGAATAAGTAGAAAGATGTCATCTCTAATGAACTGTTTTAGTGACTCTATTCTAGATTCGCAGGTCACGTTGCTCTCTGTTGCCTATTAATGAGAACCAACAGCCAACAATACCCGGGAAGGGCTGTTATTAGAAGTAAATGTAATGCGAATGAAGAAAAGTGCATGAAAAAATAACATGCCACAGACAGGAGCCAAACCTGCGACCTTCGAATGACACGTTCGATGCTCTTCCATTGAGCTACGGCGGCCGTCATCCTTCCGTCCACTTTATAGGATATATATGTACATTTAAACGTATATAGAGATTCTGTCAGTGCCACCTGTTGCCATTACAGCGAGTGATGCATGTTTGGCGACACGTGATGTTACTACGAGATGGCAGCAGACCAATATTCCATCGCATATCACCTCAAGGCATTGCAGGTCGGGATGAAGGAAAGGAGTGCACACTGGGGGGCTCAGAGCATCGAACGCGTTACTCAAAGGTCGCAGGTTCGGATCCTGCAAGTTAGCTTTTCGTCCACTTTTCCTTCACATTCGAATAAAACATATTTCTAATAACAACCCATCCCTGGCATTATAGTTCTCATTTATATTGTGCCATACAAATAGAAGGAGCCCTTGACGTTCCTTCTGCTGGGGAATTATGCACTGCTGCCTCTGCAGCGTGATGACGGCCATTTCGGTGCATAGCACAAGTATCTCGACATTGCTTTTTTTCTCAACTTTTTGCGTAGTAACGTTGGAACATCCGGAAACCTACACGCGATGATAAAGCACTCCCTTCTCCGACCGCCGACATTACGTAGCTCCGTGGAAGCTCTCATTACTCGCTGTATTACGCAATACATACAGCTGTAAGTTACCATCTGTAAATAATACTCTGCGCATTAATCTAAAGCGAATTAGCTTCTGCATAACTGGCTGATCAAGATTAGCGCTACGATGGTCTAGTGGCTAAGGTACTCGGCTGCTGACCCGCAGGATCGAATCCCGGCTGCGAAAATGTTGTAGGCCCGTGTGCTAAGATTCGGGTGCACGTTAAAGAACCCCAGGTGGTCGAAATTTCCGCAGCCCTCCACTACGGCGTATGTCATCATCACACAGTGGTTTTGGGACGTTAAACAGCACAAATCGATCGAAAATTAGCGCTAAATAAAAACCGACCAGAAAGAAGGCGTGTGCTGTTCCTTCACACTTCCACGCGCTTTTGACGCATGCGCACAAACGAGTAAATCGACACGACCACGTGCATGAATTCAAGTTCAGCGTCCAGCAGAGCGATGGCCGCTGCACTCATGCAACCATCCCTGTTCTCGTATATAGTCGTTTTTGCAAAAAGTGAAGCACGAAGGGTTAGAAAAGAGGTTCAACGACCTAGGGCGGGACCTCAGGTGATGCATTATTTACACAAAAAGCCTCACAACCTTAAAGGTGGTATAAGCCGTCAGGATATTTTTCTTGTATTTACTGCAGCCAGCAAGCTTTCTCAGCTGCATCCTTGCGTTAGTGGCGTAAGCAGACGAAGATGCCGTACTAGGTGCCATGCTCAAATGGATGCTTTATGCATTCCTGTATACAAATGCATATCGGCCAAACTGAATGTTGTGTGAATCATTGATTAAGGCAACGTGCTCAAAGCATAAACAAGGGCGCACATGTGTTGTAGCCCAAGGCAATGCTATATTTTTGGACACAATCATTCCGAGCGTTCTTCAAAACTTGCTTTGAAAGCTTACCTGAAAAAAAAAATGACGCAGACCCATTACGTGACCACTCATGATAAAGCGATGCAGTGTGCATTAGATTATAAATCATGGCCATCTGTTTAGTTCTTGTTAACCTTTTGCTCTGTAATATGCTTTGATTGGTGAGTGGTTAAATGTTGATGTTTTTACGGCGTTATGGCCTTTTGTTTGTTCTGGTTATCAGCGTATTTTTAATCTTCTTGTTGTTCACAAACGTTTCGTTTTGTTCTCCTGCGGTTGGCATTGCCGCTTTGCTGTGTTTATGGTATTGCGGCCTCCTATTTTGTACTGGTTAATAGTCTTAGATATTGTTCTTGTTAACCTTTTGTTCTGTCATAAGCTTTGATTGATAGTTAAATGTCGCTGTTCTTACGGTGCTGTGACCCTTTATTTTAAAACCATATGCGTGCTACGTACGCTTTATAAACGGTATTTCGTACAGATGGTTCGCACTCGATCGCGCTTCGACGATGGACCAAGGCGGGGCGAGCCTTCACGACAACGGTCAGGCGTTGTGCAATCCTATTTATTGCATCACCCCTAAAACGAATATTTGCATAAGTGAACCAAATAGCACTTTGCCGAACCCCAAACTTGAGTTTATTCGCATCTTCCTCCGTTGTGGACTCGGTGATCTATTCATGTATGCGCATGCGTGCATACGTGTGATACCTTTCCCCCCTAAAAAGCGCGCGTTGTCGCACTCTTTATTGTGTTCACCGGTATTCACTTTGCGTGAAATATGTCTCAGTCATCAGATGTAAATACATTTTCAAAACTGAAAGGCAAGTCCAAAATTCCTTCATAGGTTGACAGGGAGAGAAAAAAGCATTCATGATTGTTTACTACGCACGCACACATACGACTCCCGCAGCCTGAGAGCGAAAATGATGCATTAACCCGCGTTTTAGCATCGCGTGGGAACTGTGCCAGAAGCAGGCAAGGCTTTGTCCTTACAGAATTGGGGGCACCGCCACGACTCGCTAAATGGCCACGCCTATCGCCACGTAAGGCGACTTGAATCCACTTGTCTTGCCTTGTTTTCTTTTTGGCTGTTTCGAACGCAGCCCGCTCATGCGTGAGCCGTGCTCGGTTTGCGCAAACAGGAGCGCGCCAGGAGAAAGGCTGCAAACAGCGAGGCTTGAACGGGCCCGTCAATTGAACCGGCGAAACCGAATCCAATCGGCGTTCAGATGTGAATGATAAATGCGGAAACTGTCGTGGGACGAAACGCGTGACTGATTCTGAAAGCGCCGTTTGCTTCCGCTTTGCTGCTTTCTGTGTGTGTTTTAAAACAGCCGACCTGTCGAAGCTCGGCAAACTCCACCTTGACAAGAAGCCGACTACACACCCGCGCGTCGCCCAGAAACCGCCTAGCACAGCAGTACTATAGACGATGCTTTAAGATACCACGTGACTGAAATCACGTAACAGCTAGTCACTTGACATGTTCCCGCTAAAACATTTGAAAGCATTTTGTATCTCTAGCAAAAGATTGGTTGTCACGATGTTGATAACGCCCGGCACGCTTTGCCCGAGTCAGCGGGATACACACATGAAAGCACCAAGGTGTGACAACAAAACACAACCTTCATTACACACACACACACACATAGAGAGAGAGAGATAAATGGGTACAAACAGAAGGACGAATAACTGTAGACCTCTAAACAAAATAACCTCTCCTATCACGGCCAAGTTCCACGTGAAGTCCCCAGTACCCGCTCGGCAGCTGAACTGGACGCACCATACCGTCCACTTAAGATGACTAACCATCGCGCTCACATTCAACCGTCGCTAACAGCGTACGGCGGTACTGGCGTCCCTGCTGGCATACCAAGGCACCACGTAAATGAGGCGAAGCGCGCAGACGTCGTTTCCATGCGGCGCTGGGACTCGTGCACTCCGGGAACATTCGAGGTACTTCTGGTCCGTGCGACGTTGGCGTGGCGGACGGTTGTCCGCAAGCCCGGGCTCGTTCAGGGTCGGTGGCATGAGCGCTAACTTTTCCCTGCCGCTCGCTGCACCACCATATAAATGAACGACCGGAGCACGAAGACGGTAGCATAGTCTTTTACAACTTCGAGTGCACTATTACCTATCTCGAAGCGCTGCTCCTTGCCGAGGTTGTTGTACATTACTTTCGTTTTCTGCAGATTAATTTTAAGACCCACCTTTCTGCTCTCCTTGTCTAACTCCGTAATCATGAGTTGCAATTCGTCCCCTGAGTTACTCAGCAATGCAATGTCATCGGCGAAGCGCAGGTTACTAAGGTATTCTCCATTGACTCTTATCCCTAACTGTTCCCATTCTAGGCTTCTGAAAACCTCCTGTAAGCACGCGGTAAATAGCATTGGGGAAATTGTGTCCCCCTGCCTTACACTCTTCTTGATTGGTATTCTGTTGCTTTCTTTATGAAGCACTATGGTAGCAGTTGATCCCCTGTAGATTTCTTCCAGAATGTTTATATATACTTCATCTACGCCCTGATTCCGCAGTGCTTGCATGACGGCTGATATTTCTACTGAATCAAACGCCTTCTCGTAATCCATGAAGGATATGTACAGTGGTTGGTTATATTCTGAGCATTTCTCTATTACCTGATTGATAGTATGAATGTGGTCGATTGTTGAGTAGCCTGTTCGAAATCCTGCTTGTTCCTTTGGTTGATTGAATTATAATGTTTTCTTCACTCTGTTAGCAATTACCTTTGCAAATAGCTTGTATACTACAGAGAGCAAGCTAATCGGCCTGTAAATCTTCAAGTCCTGGTCATCTGCTTTCTTATGTATTAAGATGATGTTAGCGTTCTTCCAAGACTCCGGTATATATATATATATATATATATATATATATATATATATATATATATATATATATATATATATATATATATATATATATAATTAATGTAGATTAACTTTGTCTTTGCATACCTACATTTGCATTTAGTTGTAGTAGTATTCGCCTAACATTGTCTCTTCATATTTGTTGTAATGTTTATTATATCATGTCATTTTGTTTGACTTTGTTTTTATGTTATTTTATGCACCCTATTTTCGTGATGACGTCACCACATAGTGATGTTTTGTGAAATTTAGGGTAAAATCAACGTAACAAAATGAAAGTAGAGAACAAGTTAAGGAGCACGCAATCGAAAGAAGAAGGGAAACGGAGAGGCGAGCAAGTTGGTATCTGACTCATTACGGCTTAAATGTAGTGAGAAAAAGACAAGGACAAGAAAGTGTACACAATAAGCGTTTTGGTGTACACTTTTAACGGTTGGAGGTCAGGGGACTCTAGTTGTCATCAAAGCGAAAGAAATGGCCATGCGGTGCATACAGCTGGTGATCAGTTAGAGCAACGGAACAGATACGCGGAGTGAGTATCGAACAGGCAGACGGCGTGATCAGCGCGTTCGTCCTGCAGTGAGCTTGACTAGAAGAGCTCGCAATAACCAACGACGGGTGCAGTTGAAGGGGTTCTCATCGTCCCCGAAATTTTTTGTGCTTTTCTGTGAAGTACTTACAGGTCTTCCCATCGGCCATCAGTTGCCAAGGTTGGCCGTTCTGTACACGTTAAATAAAAGGTTATGGGTACGACCCGGTGTATAACGGTGCTTGGTGCATACAAAACATTGTTGCTTCTGCTTGTTGCAGTTCGTGTTGGCGCTAATGCTGGGCGCCGCGTCGGCCGGCAAGGACGATGCGGACGACGACAGCTTTTCGATCGGCCTGGGTGTGCTGTCGCCCTCGTACCGCCAGAAGATTGGCCCCGATGGAAACACCAAGGTGGACTTCAACCAGGAGAAGGACGGCTTCTCCTTCTCTGTGAGCAGCGGCGAGCCCAACGCCAAGACGGCATCGGGTGCAGTAAAGCCCTACTCGCACATTACCTTCAGCCAGCAGTTCCAGGACCCGGCCGCCGCCAAAAAGCACGCCTCGGCCGGGGGCGCCGAGCTGCAGCAAGTGGCTCAGCACCAGCCCGCGCAATACGCGGGACAGCAAGGACCCTACGGTACGTCATTCCGAGCTCCCAAATAAGTGGATCCGAATATAACGCGCATGAAAAGAGCTACGCCTTCATCCATACGAAATAACTCGCCGAGAGGCTATGCTGCGATTACAGATCGTGTGGTGCAACTAAGCTGTAGTATTTCTACAATGAACACTGGGCGGCAAGCATTGTAATTTTAGTGTATACATATCCCAATTTCGCATTATGTCGTTCATTTCGTTAGATTACTACTGAATCAAAACAATAATGTTGACCATTTTGCCAATAAACACGCCAAAATATTAAGCACTTTTGAAGCAGTTTCTGTGCTAACATATGCTAAAAAATTAGTTTATCTACAGCCCATAATGCTCAAAGAAGGGCTAAAGTATTTCGAAATGTCATTACAGAGCTGAAGGAGGCCAAAAGCAACACAGGAAATAGTGGTGTAGGTAGCCCCATCATGTCCTCGTGTCATCCACACGGTGGTCTTGGAAGTGTAAGGTGCCTCGTATGCAGTTAAGCCGGCGCGACAAAAGCGAACGTGCTCAATCAACGCCAGTGCACAAAGACTGCATGTTTAAGTCTCGGCAGCAGTTCATGCGTTCTACCTTCCCTGCAGGAACTCAAGCCGGTAACCTTGGAGCAGCCCAGTACGCCAGAGGTGCACCTCAGTACGCTAGTGGGGCGCCGTCATACGCTGGAGGTGCACCACAGTACGCCGGTGGAGCGCTGCCATACGCCGGAGGTGCCCCGCAGTACGCCGGTGGAGCGCCGCAGTACGCCGGTGGAGCGCCGCAGTACGCCGGTGGAGCTGCCCAGTACGCGGGAGCCGGAGGCCTGGCACAATACGGAGGAGCACCAACTCCGGCTGTCCAGTACGCGGCAGCCCCACAGTCCACCGGTTACGGAGGAGGCAACTCACTGGCTTCATTTGGCGGTGCTGGGTACGGCGGTGCAGCTCAAACGCTCGGTGGGGTACTCAACTCCGACCAGAACGCGGCCCTGGCGGCCGTGCAGCAAGTGCTGAACGCGGAACGACAGCGGCAACACACCGCTCCCCAGGCGCAGGCGTACACGGCGCCTCAAGCTCAGGCGTACGCTGCACCACAAGCCCAAGCGTATGCAGCACCTCAAGCCCAAGGATACGCAGCGCCACAGGCCCAGGCGTACGCCGCGCCTCAGGCCCAGGCATATGGTGCGCCGCAGGGCTTCTCTCTGCCCCAGCATCTCTTCGCGGCGGCACCACAGCCGTCTTACGCTACGCCTCAACAGTCGTACGGAGCTCAACAGCAGCAACAGCCGACCTACAGCGCTGGAGTGCACGGTAGCGGGCAGGCCTTGGCTTTCGCTTACGGTGGCGGAGGGGCCCCTGGCGCTGCAGCTGGCTACGCGGGAGGATATCAGCCACATGGCGGATACGCTGGCGGGCCTGTGGCCGCCGATACAGGTTCAGATCCTAAGTACGGTGCTCAAATCTTTGGTCCGGCACAAGTGTACGTTCCTCCTCCAGGGGCAGCTGGCCAGGGTTACGGCGCTGGTGCCGCTACTCAGGGCGGCTACAACGGCGGCTCGGCGGCAGCGAGTTACAACGGCGGAGGAGCGGCGAACGCTCATCAGGGTGTCGCACTGCAGACGGGCCCCGGAGGAGTCATCACCGGCGCTGCGCTCCAAGGATACGGGGGCAGTTCAGCCGGGGCTGGCCTGCAGGCCTACGGCGGCGGGTCAAGCGCTGGCGGAGCACTGCAAGGCTACGGCGCGGCTTTCCAAGGCTACGGCGCAGGATCTTCGGGAGCCCAAGGAGTCACATACAGCCCCAGCGCGGCTTACGGCGGCGCACAGCTGGCCGGGCAGGGAGCGCCCGGCGTTCACTACGCCTCCGGTTCGACGCTCAGGCTACAGGCGGCTCCGTACGCGGCTGCCCTAACGGCCGGTCAAGACGCACGCTCAGCAGGCGGATACACTGCCAGGCCTGGAGGGTACGGCGCCGCTTCGTCCGCACAGGTTACGGCGTACGGACCTCCGGCCCAGTCTGGCTACAAGCACAAAAAATGAAGCCCTTCTTGATAGCATTTTTTAATGGAAGCTGCGAGAGAAATGCAATAGGACGATTTCAACTGCCGCTCGCTCATGCCGGCGTCAAGGCCAAAGCGACGATTCTGTATTTATTTTGTTCGCGTCGCGCTGTTTGTAGTTGCGACCGTTCGATACTTTCGCTTTTTCACGCAGCGTGGGCCCTGTTAAGAGCTTTCATTGTTGTTATTGTTGTTGCTGCTGTTGTTGTTGTCTTGTTAACAAAATTTGTCACTTGCAAAATGAAACGCCCGTCAGGCCGGTGTTACCTTGAGGCTCTGACTAGGAGTGTCACCCCACGACAGAACACTCCCAACACAGTGGACACCACTGTTTGGCCCATCAAGCAGCCTAAACTGGGCTGCGTCGCGGTGTATATACATCTGGCCAAGTTCTGTGCATGGAACCTCGGGGGCTATACCTTAACATTTCGTAAGTTTCCCCTTCGTCACGAACTATGAATACTCAACATTTCTGCCGTAAATATTGAGTGGACGTCAAGATCCGACCGCTCATATATTTGTATATCTTCCACCGAGTCTTTTACCCGATGAACAAGCTGTCATGACATCGTGCACTGCAATGATCATGTGGCCATATCCCTGACAAGCTTCAATGTCGCATTCGCTTCGGCGCCTCATTTACAAATGCACACTCTAATATCACCCACGGACTGGCAGTGAGACCACGTTGGAGATTATAAAAAGTACAAGGTACTTTGATGCTATTTTGCTATGGTGTATAGCTTGAAGTCAAAGTCATTTATTATTCTTACACTATAAATTTTTTTACAGAAAGAACAAGGGTCCCATAGTCGAAGACTGCATCGGGGCCCTCGTATTTATTCTACATTTACTCTCGCTGCGAAATCTCGGAGCAGCGTTTGTTTCCAGTGATCTAATGCGTAACGTTGATCATTTCATTGCTTGTTTCACTACTTGTTGTGCGCCAAACCTATGGAGATTGACCAGTATGCTGTTTTTAACGGCTTAGGAAAGCATACTTTGCACTGAATATCATTGCACTGAATATCACTGAATATCAGCATACTGGTCAGATTGACCAGTATGCTGAGGTGGACACGGGACGAACATGAACGCACATGGCGACGCTTGTCCCGTGTGTCAGTGTTTACCTTTTACCAAAGTCATGCTAGCCTGTATTTGTAAGAATGAACGCACTAGCCCAGCACCGAATTTCGTTATGCCTTATTGATGATGGACAGCAGGCGCGTAGCCAGAATTTTTTTCGGGGGTGGGGGGCACCACCTTGATTTCGGGAGGGGCACCCTCTTAAAACGGCCTTTTTCACTCTCTATGCCATGGCACAAAAAATTCTGGTAGGGGGGTGGGCACGTGCCTGGTGTTCTACCTCCTGGCTACGCGCTTGATGGACACGATGGACACAATCTTCCAGGGCAAATCCCGCAGAATAAAAAGCAAGCATACAAGCGCCGCTTGATATCTCTGCATCTTAGCTCTCCTCCTTCTCTCTTTGGTATGGCTCAACCTGAGCATCGTTATGCCTTTTTGAGTAACTATACGACTATATTATTTGCCATAATAGTTAGATGCGTACTTTCTCATTTCCTCGAACACCTTAGACTTCATTTGAATTTTACAAATGAATCAGCTAAGTTTGCTCCACCCTTCCCACGCTCGTTTACACTTTTTGTGCTTGCCGCGGACATATTGAGTGGACTCCGCTAATCTTCAGCCGAAGCTATGGAACCTGCACTGCAGTAGGAATAAAGCTCGGATCCCTGTTTTCGAGCACGAGCCTCTACGTAATAGGTCTCAAACGAACGAGGACGATCCTTTCGGCCTGTATGAATAAAAGTTTCTATCTCTCTCTCTGCGTAATAAGTTCAAGTTCGGAAGGACGCGTGATCAAAGCAGCCGTTCTCACAATATCACTAAGTTATACACCAAGCCCGCGGATCTTTCACTTGCAGTGACTCTACCCAGATATGACTATCACCGAAGTACGCCTTCAACCCGCCTATGGTCCGTATGGGCGGGTTGAAGGAACTTGGCGGTCGAGTTTTTAGTGGCCCGCGGTTGCCCAAGCCGATCTTGCTCGCCGCAAGAGCACTGCCTCCCTCTCCGATATAATCGAATTTTCAAGCTTCCTCCGCTTCGTGAGACATTACTCACGCATATATGAGATACGGTGAAAGCCTTCTTTAAATCAATACGTTAGCTAGAATTTTGCTCGAACCTCCGGAACAGCGGTGCTGGTCCTTACTGCAAGGCTGAATTTCATGACCGAGACCCGGCAGACGATGGAGACCCTTGCATCAGACACTAATTACCCACCTGATAGGCTCCGGTCCCGCCCTATGAGTTGCGTTTGGCATACAGACCGCGCGTATCGAGGAGAAAACCTTACCAAACGTGAAAACTGGCTGCCGTTTTTCGATCGGCGTAGTCAACGCGCGTGACGCAAAAAATCACGCGATGGCGGCGCCATAAAACGTCACCACATAGCGTCACAGATTTCCATAGTTCATGACAGCGCCATAACATGAAGTCACATAGTGACGTCACCATCCTCGCTCGGTCATAGGTGGGTCGATCGTGGTGGCATCCCGAAACCAGCCGAGGTGTTTCCAATCCTGCAGAGGTTGATATTGGCAGAGCAGAAGACGAAATCGTCTTCTTGTGGGACCCTCCTATGCAACAGTTTCCGCCAACTTATCAGCGTCCGTGGTCATCTGGTTCTGAGTCGCCATCTGCCCCCGTTATATGTCTAGTTTCGTTTCACAAGGTACTCGGCCGACAAAAACCAAGTGCGCTTCGGACAACGTTGCTCAGAACGGCAAAGTGATTATTACAGTTTATCGCGCGACTGATAACACCCCGATGCGAGGCACAACACAGTAGCGTTGTTTGGTGCAAAGGGTGCACCGATCGTCGCGGCACCTTTCTGTATTCGGGTGACCGGCTTGGTTACTTTCGTCGTTGAATTCGTTGAACATGTCTGCTTCAGCTTCTGTATACCATGGAGAAAGGAAAGCTAAGGAGAGGCCCTCAAAATGCGGACTGCAGAGCGAAACGTGCCGCGGAAGTCTCGTGCTTTTGCAGGGGGGGTTGTGGGAATGGGTGGGCCCGCCGGCGTCTCGTGTTTTCTGCGTCACCACTCCATGCCGGCTGGAGTTGTGAATGTGCATTTTTATGCTGCTGTTACACTTCAAAGATGACACAATGTGTTAGAAGCCTACAGTGAGCGTTGGAGTTCATGGTTTAGTTTATATCGCTTGAGGTCACAAAATGTGATGTAACAGCCTGTCCACAGTTTATTCCTTCCTCCATGACTTTACTGTCTTTCCCTTGACGCCATTGCGACAGGTGCGTTTCAATAAACAGGCATGGAAAGTGCTATATTTCCACGTGTGCTGCTGGCATCGATACCTTAGGACAGCTTAATCACCCCAATGGCTCGTGGTCGTGTGCTCTTTTGAGTGCCATCGCGCGCATTCAGTCAGAGACGGAGTAAGAAAGATGACACATAAGCTGCCTGATATTTCTAGAACGGTTGGCACGTGAAAACGTAGATCTGTTTGTGCGCCAACGCAAATGTGAAGAGAACTAAGCGAAAATGACAGGTGATAAACAAGACACTCCGTTTACATCAACGGCAATTTAAAAAGTAAGCAAATTATGAGAAAAGCAACACCTCGTTTACACTGAAGAATTTCTGGTCAGCGACAAGTTTGCCGGCCCGATGCGTATGAGTGCGAAAGCACTTGAAGCGATAAAAAAAAACAAGAAGACAAATCAGTGCACAGACACGTACGATGGCTCATATGTCACAGCAGTGAGGCTGGGATAGCCGATTGCAGGAAATATATTTGAAAATTGCCACAATTCGAGAATACACTGGGCCGTAGAGACCAGATCAGTGGAGAACGCGCTTATAGCTGATGCTGAGATCCTTCATCTCGACTCTCGAATAGCGTACTTGCGACACCGAATGAGGTTCCTGGTATTAGATGTTGGAATACACGGTGCGTGTTATTCAACGCAATCTTCAGATACCACGCACCAAACATGTCGGAAGGTCTGACAGAATTGATTGATTGATTGATATATGGAGTTTGACGTCCCAAAACCACCACATGAGAGACGCCGTAGTGGAGGGCTCCGGAAATTTCGACCACCTGGGGTTCTTTAACGTGCACCCAAATCTGAGCACACGGGCCTACAACATTTCCGCCTCCATCGGAAATGCAGCCGCCGCAGCCGGGATTTGATCCCACGATCTGCGGGTGGTCTGACAGATGTACCACCGGGTAAAATCACTCTTGCGAAGGTGCACACATCACACCGATTTCGCATCGAACTACATAAAATGAACGCCACTCAGAATTTTAATTTGCATGATCATCCGCGAGTATGTACCAAAAGGTAAGTCTACACAGATTGGTCTATTTCGGCTATAACGCAAAATGAGGCGTCAACAAACGTCCATTCACAGTATCAGTGTTAGGAAAGACACGACGCAAGGTGTTGCAACGCTGTCAACTGCAACAACGAAAGAACCAATTGACCGTCACGGGACCACGACAGAGTTCTGGATTCTCAATCACCTTTACTGCAACAACACGGATAGCCAAGTTCAAAAAAACTTGCTCACTGTGAGGGGCAATCAAGTTGTTGTGGCGTATGTGGACCCACATGGAATTCCACTAGCCACGACTTTGTCCTGGTACCTATATATGATGTCTGGTTCCACATAAAAGTGTTCATATAAGCCCAATAAGTAGATTATGATTACGCGCCAGTAGAAATCTTCTGTTTGCGTTTTTACCTCCAGTTTCTGTCGCGATTTCGTTTTCCACTGTTTTGTTGTCGCAGAAAGTGCAGAGAAGCGGACCCAGTTAAGCCCTTCCTTTTCCCTATGCGCTCAAAAAAATCGCACTGACGCTCGAGGACCTTCCGGTCCCTCGCGCCCCATCGCGGGAGGGCGTTCTCCGCTCGGGCGACGAGGTGTATCGCATTCCTGGAGAGCGTGACCACCGGGCACACTTGTTCGTGCAGCGCCTGAACGCGGAAAAGGCGGTCACGGCAGAGTGGCCGAAGCGTGTCGCAGCAGCAGGAAGTGTGTCGACTCTCTCCGAGACCAACGCCTTCGCGGTTTGCCCGCATTTCGCGCTCGGACCGAGCTTGTCTACGAAACGGAGAGTTCGTTGCGCGGTGCACTTACACGACTTCGAAGCATCGCGAAAAGGGCATTCTTCCTTTCCTCAGTGTCAACATTCTCCGCGCAAGGGAGTGAGTCAACACGTACAAAATATTTTTTTTTTTTGGATTTTAAAGTTCCCGTCACTGGGTATCAGCAAGCCAGCCCCACCGCAACGGCCATAATCCCGCCGAGTCAATAGCTGTGCGCCCTGCTGGCAGCCTATAAAATCACTGTTGGGGAAACGATGCACTCATCATTGTTTACGGTGAAGAGAGCACGGACAAAGAGTAGAGAGAGCTGCTTTCGAGCCCCACAACACCAAATTTCATGGCACATAACGGGAAAGCAACCCCGTCGATATTGAAAGCGAAAGTCATAGGTGCACGTGCGCAGAATATCCGAATGAGGGAGGTTAGTCGAAGCGCCCCCCCCCCCCCCCTTTTGTGTCAATGTATGAGACATGGGTAGACGTAGTAGGAAGTGCAGGAAGGGTATAACCGTCTATGCAACGGGTCGCACACAACACACATACAAAAAAATGGAAACAGATGTGGTGCATCGATTGCTTTTTTTTGCGCTGCGAAAGCAGTTTCAGCTATGCCCACGTATACTGTCTGATGAATGCAACAAATAAGAAGCACACCGATTAACACGTGCCCGAAATGTGTCACTGGTGTAGTTTATGAATTTCCGCTATACTTGAGCATGGACGTAAGTCGCGAATGCGCCTGAATGAGCGGGCGCGGAAACTTCAATAAAAGGCGAAGTTATTTGCTGACACACTGCCCTTTTCGTAGGTGTCAGCCGTGCCTGAATAAGATATCAGGTTACCGGCAGAAAACAGGGACACCGCGGCTCGAGAATTGTTGGAGGCATCGCACATACAAACGCGAGGTTCCAAATGAATCAGTGATACGCCAGTGTCTTTTGTGGGCTGTGCCGGAACATAAACCGACTGGCCCAGCAAAGAGCACTTCTTTCTAACATGAGGCTCACTTCGCCCCCCTTTTAGGTGAATAGGGGAGGGGCGCCCTCCCCTCTCCCCGTGCGCACGCTCATGCCGAAAGTATAAATATACATGCGATGCATTCGCAGGCGCCACAGCACTCTTTTCATAGTTCTCGAAGGCCGCGTTCTCACTTGGTGCAACAATTTCCAAATATTTTTTTTGTTAATTTGTGTGAGTACTCCTTCAAGTGTAGCCCACCGACGAGAATTTACCGAAAAATAAAAGCAGAAATTGAGCCTGACAGAAGTTGTAGCAGCCTTCGTTGTGCTGCATAAAACACGCATGAAAGAAACGACCCACCACGATAAATTACAACATACGTATTTCCGTTTGGCAGCCGCAATGGCACCCCAAAACGAAAATTTCACGTGTGCACTTCATTGAAAACCAGTGAAACAACTAAGTGTTTTTCAGTCTGACTAATTACCGAGGAAAAAAACATCGAGCCATCTCAAATGCACAGCTGAATCGCTTTGTATATGGTCAGTTGCAACTTAAGAATGAACAGAAGCCCCGCCCCCAATCAGCTGTGCTCGCGCTTGGTAGTTTCCGTTGTAACCGTAAGCATTTTTTTTTTTTCGTAAATACAAACCATGCTATGAAAAAACAGTTGGTCCTACCTTGTTAAATCGTCGCGTTTGGTTGAGCAGTGAAGCCGGAGTCTGATGAAATTTGCCAAGAAGTAAAACTTTCCGATCAAGAACTAGCCACATGAAGGCGTGCCTGTGTGGGCAAATCACCTGCTTGGCATCGCGTAAATAAGCAATAACAAGTGGGAGGTACATTCATGCAAGTTCTCTCAGGGGGCGACGGCAGTGGCTTATTCGTTTCCACGTTAAACTCTGGGAGCCTTGATAGGAACTCCTTCGCTTGTCAGTGAGAAGCAGCGCCGCAGTCTTTTACGCTGTACAATAAACTAGCTAGCACTCTTGAGGGTAGTGAACACCCTTAAATATTAGAGAAAAGTTGTTTCCACTGACAAAAAAAAAACATATCATGCATGATAAGACGCGTTGCAGCAAAAGATGGCAAGAAGAAGTGTCGTCACCCCTTTTGACAGCCTATTATTTGCACTTAGTGGCTATCGATTGATTTGCACTGTACGTAACAAAGAAGCAATGAGGACCATGTGTTAACATACTGTAAACCAATTTGCGCTCTTTTTGACTTTGGCAGAATTGACTCAGAATGAGTAATATATGCTGGGCGAACAATAAAAATGACAGTGAAAAAGCTTACAATCACGCATTTCATTCATAATAAATCCTTTAATTGTCAGCTAGCAGACGAAACGGAGCTCCAGCGGTGTGCCTAGGCAAATTGAACACAAGCGGAAACGACGTCGATTGCAGCTCACCACTGCTCGTGAGCAGAACTCCCTGCAGCCGCATATGTTGCTTTTCTCTGTGACGCCCCTCTATACGAGCGGATAATGCACAGGAGTTAACTTTTTGTAGTACGCGATGCGGGGCCGCAGGCTTCTAAAACATACATTTTTCGACTGGGACCAGCTTTCACGCTTTTTCGAAAAACGTGAAGCTCCAAAAGCTGTGGTTATCGAAGTGAGGCGAAAGGAATTGGAGGTATCTTTACGCGGTGCACTTCAAACGGTGACGAATATAAACACGACCAATGTCTCTCTCTCGAAATTGGAAAGAATGCTGAATCCTGAGGCAGTGCCTTCAATATTCATTCACTGCAAACACAATAGCGGGAAGCCTCGACCGCAGTTTGGAGAAGCGCTGGCGACGACACGCAAAGAACAGCCTTAGTACAGCGTAAAATGCTTACGTTAGCTTGTTTCGCGCATTAAAAATTATAGACGGAATCCACCGTAAATACGTCACGAAACTGCGGTAGCACCATTGTCGGGCATTCGCAGTTACTGCTGTGCTGGTGCGTGCGCTTCTTGTTTTCGTCGAAAAAGAAAAAAACAACGATGGAGCTGTCATGACTACTTCAGCGGGAAGGCCCAAGAAAAATGGACTAAGAGGTTTTTTTCTTAGTTTTCTGTTTACGAAACTGTCGCAAGAAGATTAGCCACAGCTGTAAAACACAAGAGCTCACCATCAACGCCGCTTCATCGGTTATATTTTGAAGCGGGTCACCCAGCCAAAACGATTAGCTCTGTCAAGCGTTCTTCATTGTAATGTGCCACGCCACATTTTCTAACAAGCTTTGTGCGGAGGCATGTCGAGCACGTGTAGCTGAAATACGCGTTATCGTTGTGGATGGCCATTTGCATATTGTACACTAGAGCTTCTTGCTGAACTGGGTCTGCCGTTCTTGTATTTGTTAACAAATCAAAATGCACACGTGTGACGCACACAGAGGCGCAAGAAACACGATACACCAAACGAAGAGAGCTAGTGTGGTGTTTCTTAACCCACAGCAACTCGCCCAACTGCTACTGAACGTCTGACGTAAGCTGCCGCAACGGCCATGATATTTCGCAAAATTGACAAACCAAAATGTAAACGTATGACGTAGACTACCGCAACGGCGGTGTCATTTCGCAATTGAGATATATTGCCACCGTTAAAATATGTTGTGTGTTAAAGAAATCCTCAAAGCGGGAGCTACACGTCAACATGGCTCATAAGTTCATTTCACAGTCCCTCTTACAGCCACTGCAATTACCTCTGCAACGGCCGCCGCTTATGAACATGCAGGAGGTAGCTTTTGCACCTGCTGCAGCATTTATCACGTCACCATGGCGCGCATTTAGCTGGTATGGCTGGGCGGAGCCAACGCGTCAAAATGTCGCTACAACAAACCTGTATATATTGACGGTGCCTACCGCTGTTTACGAAAAGGGTTGCACGTGACGTCACTTCCGGCTAGCAAAATGAGCGACCACCATGTTTTCAACATTGAGTCAGGTTGCACGTGCATCTAACCGCTGCGTGGGAGCGTGTCGGAGTCATTCGAGCGAGTTGGCGAGAAAAAAAAAAAGCCGCCCGCATCTTCCTAAGAGGGCAACTCGAGTAAATACGTCGCAGAGGGGTGGGGTTATCACTTGAATGTTGCGTAACATGGTTCAGTTTGGTAATACATAATTGTTATTTCGTCTTTATTATTCTTACTTATTGAATAAAGTAGAATCGTTGCCTTCAACGAGGGACGCTGATGTTGGGTAGTGCCCCACTACTGGTTGAAGGTACTGTTGCTACCATCGCATCTACTGAAGTCAAGCAAAGCGTCAAGCGAAAAGCAAAGACGCCCTTGACTGAACTGATGATGATGACGATGACGATGGGAAATTCAGATCTAGCACAACACGTATCTAATTATTGGTTTGGTGTATTTGCTGCCGGACCTGTTCTATCCTGCAGATAGTTCGCACACCACCGTTGTCCTAATCAACGCTTTGTTGCCTCCACCACTTCCCACTGCGGTTGCTCTTGTGACTCCCGGAAACCCAGCGCCATTGCCAGCAATTTCTGCCATCGTTCCGGTGGCGGCCGCAGGGTGGCCAGGGAACAGTTGTGCAGCACGAGCAGACGCTGCCTGCGGCGGCCTTGCGAAGTGATAGACGCGAACATGCGCAGTGGAGGTGTAGACGACGCCTGATTTGCGAGTAGGTTCGGCTATAAAATGATCCGCATTTAAAACGTGATTTGCCCGTCGTACTTTGAAAAGCTTGTGGGCCCGACTCGTGTACGCTACCGAGCAAAAATTCAGAAGTGCGATGGCATCGACCCGTACGAACTGCACATTGGTCAAGATGCTACACAGAGCGCTGATCTGCTGCTTTCCGTGACACACTATTTGGTGCTTTCGACAAGTCATGTCACACTGCAAAATTGAAGGTCAGCAAGTCACTGGACGGCTACAGCTACACTTCACCAGTGGATGGGCGAAGAGCATATAATAGTAAAGCAGGTTCCATCACAACATGTCGTTCTAAGCGAGGTTAGTTACGACGCCCTTTCACGTAACGATCGAAGTAAAACTTGGTCTATCTCAAGACGCACGGGTTTCGACAGGATACAACGCTGATGGTTCATAACGCTAAGGTTCTGCGTCGATGGCAGGCAGTTCGAGCGATGTTCCAGGCTCCGTGCCCGTTGGGACTGCATCCAGGGGGTTGGTATGTCGCTTTTTAGAGCGGCGAAAACATGTTGCGGCAGTAGTGCGGTCATAACGGCCGGGGTAGGCTCGGTGCCCAGTCGGGGTTCGCGTCGTCCATTAAACTCGCGGGTCGTCCTATGATCGCATATGTTGCACCATTAGACCTCAACACGAGACGCGGTTGTTCGAGGGAACAGTTCGTCTGTACATCGCTGATAATCTAGGTGGCAAGCGACACGATCATGTCAGTAAGCGTGTTCAACCAGGACATAACTCGGAAATACCCTTACCTGTGATGAAGTGATAACAGCAGGCAAGGATTTACTTCTCTTGCTTCGTGCTTTCTCGGCAGCCAAGCAATACGGCGCTTTTCGTATGCATCCTTGTTTACGCGCACTGATTTGTATTATTCGCGGGAAAACTGAACATTCTAACGCGTGGCTGTGCTTTGCCTTTAGAAGCAGAAGCTCCACACCTTGTTCTGCCTCCGAAAACTACACAAATAGTCATAGTGAAGCCAGCAACACTACCGAAGACCAGACGCTGCAAAGCTACCGGCTATACTTCCAGGCAGCTGCTTAAGTTGACAAACACGGCGGTCCTCTCGCTCCCGGATGTGACGTACTTGCAACACATGTATAGTTCAACGACAAAACCAGTAAAACGACACCATGCGATGTGCTAGACTAGCTGCGTCATCTGTGATCAAAGCTCCAAAAGCTGATCGGCTCCATTGTAGTTGCGAGTATTCAAATTAGTCAAGTTCGACATAAATGAAATCGTACTCGGCTCAAATCAATTTAGGATTAAACACATTAAATGGCTTGAGCTACGTTATGTTTAAGGTAAATGTTTTTGGGGCAGTGAGACACAAAAATGCAGGGGCGCTCTTAGTACACATGGGAGTGTGCCAAACCGAACATCGATATCAGAAACAACGCTGTCTTCATGACTTCTTTGCGCCCCGTGTGCTCAGATTTGGGTGCACGTTAAAGAACCCCAGGTGGTCAAAATTTCCGGAGCCCTCCACTACGGCGTCTCTCATAATCATATGGTGGTTTTGGGACGTTAAACCCCACAAATCATGACTTCTTTGCGCAAACACGTACACGGACACAAGGAAAAGAGGCAAACAACACGGGCGCAAACTCACAACTGGTTCATTTTGAACAACGAACTGTACTTATATCTTCACGTAGCCCACACGCCCCCCCATCGGTGGATCCATCGGTGGAGAAAAATGTGTTAGCCAAGCTTCCGTCACCATATCCGATAAAGAATTTGATTTTTTGAGAGGCACGTGCAACAATCCGGCTGCAGATGCGTGAACTCTTCAATTTTTGTTGTTTTGTGGTTCTTATCATGACGTAGCGCTGAATAAGCTTTCTTTAGGTTATCTCGTTTGTGCCTGGATCCACCGATGGGGGGGGGGGGGGGCGTGGGGGCTACGTGAAGATATAAATACAGTTCGTTGTTCAAAATAAACCAGTTGTGAGTTTGCGCCCGTGTTGTTTGCCTCTTTTCCTTGTGTCCGTGTACGTGTTTGCGCAAAGAAGTCATGAATGAGTACCAACTCGCCCAATTTTCAGTACTGTTGTAACGCTGTCTTATCATTCGTAGTCTGTCGACGAAGCGAGAATATCCGAAGCGTACGCGAACGGCATCATTTATAATGATGCAGCAAGTTCGCCAAGACACCAGGACAAGACAGTGTACGCGCGAAATGGCTAGCCACACTTCAACGAGCTTTTGTGATAGTGTGTTCTTCAGGATGAATGGGTACATTGTTTGTTTTTAAATGGGAAGCATTTCTTAGCGAGACTTTGAGCGTATCTATCTATCTATCTATCTATCTATCTATCTATCTATCTATCTATCTATCTATCTATCTATCTATCTATCTATCTATCTATCTATCTATCTATCTATCTATCTATCTATCTATCTATCTATCTATCTATCTATCTATCTATCTATCTATCTAGCCGCCTATGACTTTTAGCTCTCCTGGCCGTTGCGAAAATGGTATCGATACCAAACTTGGCATGGCATAACATGACTGTATGAAGAACATATTTGACTAGTTATAACATGAAAATCATGACATGTATGTCATGATTTACATTTCATGGTCCTAGAGCTCTTGCGGTGGTTTCGTCCACATGGCATGTTGCAAAACTGGTATGGTATGGCATGATTGCATGGCGAACACAAGCAACAAACCCTCACATAAAAATCATGACATGCGTGTCATGTAATAAAATGACTACATGCTACGTTCACGATGCGCTCGCGGCCGTTCCGTTAGATTCACATGTACCAAACTTGGTATTAGGTGACGCGAACGGACGACATGGGTAAATGACACATCCTAACTTAATAATCACGACATGCGTGTCATGTAACAACATGACTACATGCCACACTGATGATGCGCTAGCGGCCGTTTCGCTGGCTTCACATATGTCAAATTCGGTATTACGTGACGCCAATAGATGACGAAGGTATGTGACTGGTGCAAACATAATAATCATGAGATGCGTGTCATGTGAGAACATGACTACATGCCACAGTCAAGGTACCAATACATTTCCACGTGACGCGGTGCGCGTGCTCGCCGGCGTTCATTTCGTCGCGTCACGCCGGCGTTGCAACGCCAGGCGCCGTTTCTGCCATATACTTGCAGACGCGCGCCGCGCTGCGTTGCTTTGACGCATGTACGTTTCAGCGCGTCTGGGTCCCTCAGTCACGAAAAGCGGAAGACGCAGTGTTGTCTGGGTAACGCATCGGCGCGAAATGCAGCATTTCACGCCGGTTGCCGTCGGGCCGCGCCAACGGACGCTGGTCGCGCCTGGCGTCAGACTATAGAGGGCTTGCGTTTTGCTAACGTAGCGTCGCTGTGCACAGCGCGCGCGTCAACGCTTCATTGCAGTATATTGGGCCCTTCATGATGCGCTCGCGACCGTTTTGCTATAGCTCCACATATACCAAGTTCGGTGCTAAGTGACGTCAATGGATGACGAAAAAATATATGACTGGTGCAAACAAGATAATCCTGACAAGCATGTCATGTAACATGACGACATAACACGCTCATAGCGTGCTCGCGGCCGTCTCACTAGCTCCACATTTACTAAATTTGGTATCACGTGACGTGAATAGATGACGCAGGTAAACCACACATTCGATCATGATAACCATGACACGGAAGTCATGTATGACATCATTTACCTCCATATCGTAACGTCATGCTGATTGACATATCAGTGACATGATTGACATATAAGTGACATATCAACATCTCTCAGTCGTGCTTCGCACATCATCGATTCCCATTGCCCGTGGGATCTGCCAATTTTATTCGTTACCCTTTTAAAGGGACACAAAAGGCAACTATTAAATCGACGTTGATTGTTGAAATAGTGGTCCAGAAACCTCGTAGCGTTACTTTTGTGCCAATCTAGGAAGGGCTTATTTTTAAATAATTCACGTATTGGTGGCCCGCATCTGGTTAGCACACTTCAAATTACCCGCCTCAACAGAACGTCTGACGTCACTGTTGCCATGTACAACGTTGCCTGGCTTTACTGAGCGTCCGCCGACACTAGTAACAGCTTAGGGAAAGAAGTGGTTGGCACTGCAGGAACAACGGACATTAAACAATTTTTAGCCTTGGCCTTCAAGATTTGCAAGCGTGCTTGGTTCAACTGTGCCCCGCTAGATGGCACGACCTGTCCGGTTTAACCAGGCGAAAATTGGATTTTTGAACCAATCACGCCATTCTTAGTCGTAACGTCCAGCGGTTCTTTTTTTCCGTGAATCAAACAGAAACAAACTAGCAGCATCTTATTATGTCTCTTGATGTATGGTAGGTTGTTTATTTAGTGTAGCAGGATCGGTTACTATTTATAATTGTAGGCGGTATGTCTGACGCCATCGGGATAATTTTGCGAACGTCCTACTGCGGCGCATGTATTCTTGTCCATTTACCTTGATTTATCTGTAAGTAGCGCAAAGCTGTTGATAATATTAGCGTTCTAGACGTTGTGATACATTGAGCTTTCACTCTGACGTGAACTGTTATTTGACATTAGTGTCATTTTAAAGAGAAAACTCTGGGGCGCGGCCGCAAAGCGCACACTTCTGAACGCAGAGCAGACGCTCGTCCCACATCGGTCACTCTGTCGGGCTGCTGTCTACCTCACTTGCGGTCAGCGGTGATGGCGTCGTTTTTCTAGTTTTGGTATAAAAAAAATTGCGTTGTTGGCGAGTCGTTTTCGTATGTAACCACTTGGACTTCGAATATGCTGTCCCAGTGATGGGACAGCAGTACTTGTAAATAAAAAAAAAAATTGGCAGGCAGCATTGTCTCCGACTAGATTGCCCATAAAACGGCTTTTTGAGGTGTGCACAATTTCGTTGCAGATTCTTGTTTTATGGTGCCTATTTTTTTTTAACGCGAAAGAAATCTTACCCGTCACTGTGTCTGATCCCGGAATGATAAAGCGAAAAACGCCGCAAAGATTTGTAATCAGAGTTTTTCTATCTGCAGTGAATATGGAGTGGTATGCGCACACGCTGCAAACAGTGAGCGAGCGGATCGTGTCCGAGCGCAGGTGTTTACTGCGCATGCGTGCACTCCGCGCGCAACGCATGGCTCCATTTGGTACAATGGCGGCCGCGACGGCAGCCCCGCTTTGCATCCTTCTACGTAGTGAGCAGCGCAGAAGTGAGCGGGGCTGGATAATAATATATATACATATGATTGAGGACTGGCACGCATAACAGCATCAGACTACGCGGCCACGTTTAGTAAAGTGATCGACTCCTTAATCCATAATTCAGCTTCAAGGCTCTTCCACTTGGCTGCTCAACAAAACGGTTTTGATCATTTTAAGCATGATTTAGAAATATAAATCCTAGTCACAAAAAATTGCTGGATTATGTTTTTTTTTTTTTTGCCTTGCGCCTAATCTCCTTTTGCCTAGTCATAATTTGCGAAAAAATGGTGTCGGTGTAATGTTTTCCACCGCTAAATAACCTTCGAAAGGAAATATTTTAGCAAAAACACGCTGTAGAATATAAGAGCGGCATGTGTTATAGAAAAAAAAAAAACAGGCATCTCGACAAGGGAATCATGACGAGTGGGCGAAGCTCAGGGTATCGTATCAGCGAGTACCCGAACGTTGCCCCATATAATGTAAAGTGAGCGCCATAAAGTGTATATAGAAATGTAAATTTATTTCATCTTCCAATCGTCTTAGGCCATTCAAGGAAGTCTCACAAAGTTACTGGAGTGCTCGAAAGTGAATCGAAGAACCGGTTATCTCACCGATATACCATTTTAATAAAGTGCTGGACGTGTGCCTTAATTGGGATTGCTTCAAAGGCCTCAAAATTTAAGTCCACTTTAGTAGAGATCAACTCATTGGCACCCTTCTCAATAGGCTATTTACGCCGGGTACAGTGATCTCTCACCTTAGCCCATATGTGCGTATATCGAAGTCTATTGCACAGCCTTTTCTGTGTCTGACATATGTCTCGATTATCGCAACGGCTCTATACCGTGACCACAACAGAAGACAAGGCTTGGTACTAGAAAGCTTCGCTCCAGAAATATAAATAAGGAGTTTTGTTAATTACTCATTTAATGTAACTTTACGTGCGGAAAAGTTTTTCCACCTCGGGGTGGTTTCTTTGAGAAAACAACAAGAGCCTGACCATTATAGTGGTTTTCTAAAAAAAAGTATGTGTTGTAAAAAAAGATTCACCCTTCACTTGCTCTTACTGGCCACCGGTCGTCTGTCCTGACGAAGTTCGTTTTTGTCAATCGATATCAATTAGGATATCATCCGACCCATTCTGTCGTCCTTCTCAAGTGCGGAGCTGCAGGGCGGCCTTCTTTTGCTTCTCTGTGGTTGCCTTTTCACTCATATTTTATTAATTTCCTCCTTTTTCAAGCTCTTCCCATTTTTTCTTGCTTCTTTCTGTTCATATACCGCACGTGCTTTCATCTATGGCTGCGTTACGTCGAACGACGACGACAGCCCCTAAACTGTTTGTCACCATCGAAGAACAAGAAGACCTCTCCTCGGTGATATATGTGGTCTTCACACGGAGCGAGGACGACAGCGCCCCCCTCCCCCCCACACTTAAGTTTAAGCAGCTGGCTGAAGATAGGGTGAAATTTACATGACTGGGCTTGAGAAGCCTTCGTTCTGCCATAGACTTCAATAGGCGTGAAACGATAATTTTGTTATCGAGGATATTAGAGGAGCGTGTTAGGTTACAGAAGCTCAGCAATTAAGACGCATACAACCAGAGGAAGACTGATACTCTGGTATTTCGCTTTTTTTTTTTTCTCGGGAGCGCTAAGGTGCAGTGTAGCGCCTTTGCGGGGATCGTGCTGTTGGCAGTGAAGCGGAACTAGAGGAAAAACTGTGTCTCTCGTGGCGTTGCAAATGGCACCAGTGTTTGCCTCACACAGAAGGAACGAGGCGCCACGTCAAGCGACTCTGGTGCCTGTCACGAAACTCTGAGAAAAGAAGAAAATAAAAAGACTCCTCTCGTGTATATAGCAGCGAGCAAACTGGCGGGTGGAGGATTGTTGCAAGCAACCTTCGAATGGCTTCCCACTGGAGGGTAAGAACGTTTGACTCTTAGCACATTGCTCATAGAAACAATTTAGGCCACTCTCGTTTTCCTTATGATATCTGCATCAGATCCATCACGCATCGCCGTGTCTAAACGAAAAGTGTCGATCATAGTTTATGAAAACATGTCGACGCCGATAGCGACTTATCACCCGCAGAAAACTCCCCATGTGAGTGCATCTGAAACATTTGTGCTTAGTTGAAGTGTCAAGGGGGACGTCGTTAAACACATGCATGCAAAACATACTTCATTTTGATAGTTTTGGTACAGACAAGAAGAGCACGTTTCTGCGTCGTGAATGGTAAATCAAAGTAAATGCCGTACCTCCTCACAATAAAGCTTGTCATCTATAGATGTGGCGCACCCAATGGCGAGAAAGTGCGAACTATATATATATATATATATATATATATATATATATATATATATATATATATATATATATATATATATATATATATATATATATATATATATATATATATATATATATATATTGCATTTTAACGAAATGCTGTGCGTTAAAACTATTGTACGAAATATTTTTGACACGACGGAAGATATTTCGAATTAAATGTGTGATGCATTGAGCATGCTTTTATACCGAGAGTAGGCATTTCTCAATCGAATGAGTTCTAGCAAAGGTGACTAATGGCGTTAAGGCGAATGCTTTTAAGTTTCCCGTGTGGCACCGCGCAGATGGCACTAAATCTTGGCCACGGACGAACCCTACTGAATGGGGATCACAGGTGAACTTCCCATATTCGGCGCAAGCGAAAACTCCGGTCGTTGTGAGATAACGGGCGTACCGACGGCGTCGCCGCTGACCTGTGATGATCCGTGGGCGCAGTTGGCACTGCTGCTGCTTCCCGGGGCTCTTGCAGTGATGGTGTGGGCCCAAGATGGCGGCGACGACTTCGACGGGAGCGATGACTTCGGCGGGAGTTTCGGAGACGGCGGCTTTGTGGGGGACGCGTACGACGGAACGGTCATGCAGTCCGTGTACGCACCCCCCGAGACAATCGTGGGACCAACGGTGGTGCTTCGTCGCAAGAGGCGCTCAGTCGGTGAGTCCGCTCAGCCGATCCGAAACAGAACGATGGCATTGCAAAAAATACAAAAACTGCTCCTGGTCGCATTCGTAACCAGTAGACACGAGAGATTATTGAGGCGAGCTCTATCGCAAGTTGAGTGCGAAGCTGTGTGGGAGTAGGCCATTCGTAGCCTCATCTGAAAAAAGAGCTCGATTTTCTTGGCCGTGTGCACTGAAGTACTGATACAGAATGGTTAATTTGATATCTGCTTAAAGCTACATTTTCGGGTCTAGTGTGCAGCGCCACACGCTTACGGTTTTTAGTCATGTGTGCGGCGTCACATGAACATCGATGTGAGCTATATAATGTGCGGTAGGGTCATGCAATAAACAAAAGATCAAAGTTTAGCACTAATCCTGTTGTCTTTATTTCTCTTCTTCATCGTTGCATCTTTTCTTCAAGCGAAAATTGAACTGCGCTATAGCAATACAATTTTCTCTCCCTCACTGGTTAAAATGGTAGCTTGCCGTAACTATCAATCAAAAATCTTTTATTTTCACCATTTCATACAAAGGTGAAAAAGGGAGAACTGGAGAAAAAGCCGATAGTTCTTCGGCTTGACACTAATTGAAAATAGGTGAAAAAAACAAATATGACAAAATAAGCTACTTACGAAAAACGACTCCCGATTTTATACAGTAGAGACGTATTTGAAGATTCTCTTAACATTGCAGCATCACACAACGAACCACGTGACTTCCTAGAGTGTTCGATATTTTACGTGTGTTTCTAACGGGCGGTGTTCAATTGTCCCTGAAAGCGACACTTTTTGTATTTCACTACTACCTGCACCACAGCACTGTACTCTTGCCAAAATGCTTCATTGGGGCTCTGCTGCATATGACCGAGAGTTGTCTTTAAGAACAAGCTTTTTTCCAAAGATATGATTTTTTTGTTACTATTGCTTCTTCGTTTATGACAGGACGCTGCCCTCGAGAGACGGCGCCTCGTACAGATGTACCCACATCCTGGGAATATGAACACGGACAGCGAGAGGTTTCATTAAGTGTGTAGCGATCCATTCTCTAGAAATGGGGCGCCTTACATGACAAATAACGATGGGCGAACACGGCAGGCAGGAAAGCTACCGCTGGTCGTAAAACAAAAACTGTGCTGTCACAGCCTCTCTGTATTAACATGTTGGGGTGAAATTTGCAGGATAACGGGTAAACTAGAGAAATTGGTAAAGCAGCGTGCAATGGAACGTAAAATCGTAGCATCGGAATACCGCAGAATGGGACAAACAGGCATAGTATTTCTCCTATATTCTTGAATGACCCTTGACGAAATTGAAACCTCGAGATGTGTGTGTTTGATTGTCTCATATTCGCGACCTATTATCAGCGGCGAACGTTGCCTTTAAAATAACTTGATAGGGTAATAAGGTTCTCTTTATCGTCATTGGTGATACCGTCTTTCAAAGAAAGACATGGTAAAATAAATATTTTGAATTTAAGCCTTCAACATGAAGGGGTGGCGCAGGATTTTAGGGGCGAAGCTCTTTAGGCGGTGGGTCGTTCCCTGCTCCATATGTAGTATGTAGCCACCTCTAGTTTATGACTTATCAATAGAGGGCGTTGTGTGTATTTGTCCTTGATTGAGAGAAACTGGGGAAGAGCGTTGGGCTAGGAAGGTTTTCAACTACGTGTACATGAGGAATGTCGATACAAAATAGAGGAATCGAACCAGACAATTGACGGGTAAATACTTGAAAAAGAGCAGGGGGACAAACCAAAAAGAATTACGGGTTAAGAAGAAGGTGAAGGAAATCGAGATCGACATGTGGAGAATTGGCATGATTAAGAAGTTTGCATTAGAGATCTATCGAACTTTTAAGCAGGAAATTGCCAAGGAAAGGATCTATCATCATACTCGGGGTACTTCTCTACTGTTTGAGGCCAGCACGAGAGAACTGCGAACCAAGACTCATCAGGCCAAATACGAAAGGGTAGACACGGTATGCAGTGCGTGTGGAGTGGAGGAGGAAACTGCCAAACACCTGATAATGTTCTGTAAAGGGCTTCACCTTATAGTTCAAGATGATGGCGCAGAGTTCTTCAAAGCACTGGAGTTTAAGGACCGGGAGGTCAAAATAGACTTTAAGCGGGTAGAAATGACTAGAAGGAGGTTATCTGATTGGTGGATAAAATCAAGGCACGAGTGAAAATTAAATCCTTCCCTGCAAAGTACCAATCCTCAACTTCACTATTTAAAAGGGAAAAAAGATAAATCTAGTTTGTGGTTCACTAAGTATTACGGCTAGGTGGGGTTAGCCGCCACCCGATCTAAAGGGTGCAGCCATATGAATCCATCCATTTATCCATCCATCCTTGGGAATATTATCACTAGATGTCATTAGTGGTTTTCACAGCATATCTACGGAGTGATTGATGATGAGTGGGGCAAAGCGTCCTTCTGTCCGTCAGTGTGTCCAACCATCCATGCGTCCATCCGTAAGCCCGTCCATCCATCCGTACATGCTTCCGTCTATGCTTCCGTCCGTCCGCCCATGCATCCGTTCATCTGTCCATTCGCCCATTCGTGCATACACTTGTTGATGCTTCCATCCGTCCGTGCCTCCATCCGTCTATGTGTCCATCAGTCCGTCCATGCCAACTAGTCGGCGAATTCAACGTTGAAATAATGGGCCTTATGACCTCACTTCGCCCCCTAATGAGCATTGACTTCCTGTATCCGCTCTCAATTTTTCCCGTACTCCTCCTATAGAAAGGAAATAAAATTTAATTATTTGATTGGTCGATTCATTGTGTCGACGACAGTGTGCTTTGTGTCCACGAAAGACAAAGAGGCAGAGAAGCTTGTTTTTGGCCAATCCACCAGAGTGGGTATGAACCATTTATTAGAGGAATCCAATCGAACAAAGGCTCATACAGCGTGAACGTGACAAAAGCTTATAGTCACCAGACAAATGTTTGTTTGAAGCCTGCTGTTCCGACAAGTTGGTGACCTCAGACGCTTCCCGCATCGCAACTATTCGTCCCGAAGCTTCTCTTCGACGGCATGAAACCGAAGTCCCGATAATCCCCAGCAAACACCTCTATAATATGGACGACTGCTGCCAAAGGTGCATTTACAACTGCCGAAAATACTCGCCTCTTCTAGCGCACGCGAAACAAGATGCGTCGATTTCCACTATGGTGGACGCATCCAACATAGCTGTTTGTAGTGTTCTTCAACAGGTAGTTGACAATGATTAGCAGCCCATATTTTTCTTCTCGACAAAGCTGACAGTGCAAGAAACAGCACTTTCGGCCGCGAACTACTGGCGATAGCAGTCCGCCACTTCTGTTACAACCTCGGAAGTCTCCAGTCCTTTACTGTCACCGACCAAAAGCCACTGACTTATGCTATTACTTCCAATAGTGCTTCACATACACCACGCGAAATTCGCCAGCTTGCCTATATTGCCGAGTTCACTACTGAAATTTGACGTATTAGTGGTACCAACAATCCTAGCTGTCGCTGGCGATCCGTCACGGATTCACATGAAGGATCCTTAGATACACATCAACGCAAACTCGTCCCGAAATCGACTTCATGCACCTGGCTACTGCACAGCGCACAGACCCCGACACTCCGAAATGCGAACGAAGACGTCTTACAAACTCGCGGCGACCGTCATTTGCGAAGTGGGTCGGCCACAAGTATTTGGAAAAGTCTTCGACGCTGTATACTCTCCTCATCGGAGTGCCACAACGTCTCTTCACCTCCCGCTACCTTTGGTCCCTGATGTCCGTGCCAGCATGCCAAAGTCAACAAACACACCATCAGCACGCCGGGCAATTTTCCATTACAAGACGTTCGTTCAGGCCATGTTCACGTCGACATTGTGGGCACGCTACCACCGTCCGCAAACAAATTGCATTAAATACTCATTTGTGTGATGAGTAATGGGGTTACTCAATGGGCCCAGGTCATCGAACGCACTAAAGACAACCTGATAACACGAAGACGTTCTTTATATCGGACGAGTACAGGAACACATAGGATGGAATCTCACAATGCTACATGGAAAGTCGACAATAAAGTTCCTTCCACGCGAGAAGAAAGTCTACGTCGTTAGGGTCAACGTGCTTCACTCCCGCGACACCAAGTCTACATGACCACAACCACGCCCACCATTGTTGCGGTGACCGTAGCACCGGGCCACGTGGCGTTGAGTCCGTCGCAGTAGCGTCCACGGTGAGACACGCTTTCTCGTGTAGCTCGCTGGCTCGAGCTTAAGTCGATGTCCCGCAACATGACCTCTTGTTGGCGTCCAGGTCACGCTCGACCGGGGCGAGCGCCCAGGACACGGGTTCGAAAGCCCCGACACCCATTGAAGCTGGCCACGCACGCTCGCCGAACTGTCTTTTTTTTTTTTTCTCAAGCCCTTGCTGATCTGCGAGGGCTCGTTTCCGGAACAAATCTTGGTGTACTCCGCGAGTCCGTTTTGTCGGAACCAGCATCAGCTGAGGTGCACTCTAACGCCGACCACCTGCAAACCACTATGGCTACTGTTGCACGGCCATTGCTTTGTCGTGATTGCAAGACCGTTTATATAAGCTCATCATTACTTCGTGCCATTCATGTCTTCATCCGTCATGATGCTACTCGAACTTAATTACAAGTAGCTTACGATGGTTCTGTTTAAAATCATCAAGTGCGATGCGAAGTGCTTCACTCTCCTTGTTAACGGGCGCGAAGAGACGATTGCCATAGACCGCTTGAGGGCAGCTCACGTGGACGCTGGCAAGACCATCTCAAGCAGATAAACCACTCGACGGCAATGACTTTATCGCTAGGGCGGAGGAGCCATGTAGTGGACAATTGGCGTCCACGAAAAACGAAAAGAAGCTTGGACATCATCACCCAAAGTGGGTGAGAGCGATACTTAAAGGTAATCATTGTCACTTTAACAGTGACTGACATCACCCGGTCATTTGTTTTTTACTTATATCATTCGTTTTGAACCCATCACTACCTCTGTCTCAAATTCTCATATCACATCTGATAGCCTGCATCCTTGCTCAAATATACTTCTACTTCGGTTGCTGACTTTTCTCTCTCTCTCTCTCTCTCTCTCTCTCTCTCTCTCTCTCTATATATATATATATATATATATATATATATATATATATATATATATATATATATATATATATATATATATATATATATATATATATATATATATATATTCAGTTCAAAGTTGTTTTGTGGTTGTCAAGCAATAAGCTTCTAACTCAGAGATCCTGCCGCCCGATTCTTGGCCTTGTGGGTGTGCGACAGTATTACAAGGATCATGATCATCATCATCATCAAATAAATGTTAGTTTTGAGCATTCTGTTCCCACAATTGATATGGCACTTTTTTAATTCTTGCACCCTTCGCAGAGGGCCCCGTGACGGATTCATACGTTCACCGCCGAGTCAGGAGAGGCGGCTACGGCGTTGTTGGCCCGGTGCACACGTACGTGAGGACCGACTACGACGGTAACTTCAAGTGGGGCGCCAGGCACCACGTCGGGAAGTCGTACGGTGGCCACGCCCACCACTACTGAGACCCGCACAACAGGCGGAGCACTTCACCAAACAACGACGTCATATCTCTGCAGGGTTATTGGACAGAGCTAATTCTCTTGCATCACTCATTGTGAAGACCATTGGCGTAGCCATAGGTGGAGTTTCAAAACCCACTTCCCCTAAACATGGTCCAGACATTTAATGCGTAAATGGATGCCCATATAAACGTTCGCAACTTGGTGCAATATGCTGTTTCGCGGTCTGCTTTTTAAAACACTCCATATCATTGCATTCCGAAAGACGCGATGTGACCGCGCACATCTTCTTTGCAGTTTCTTTATTATTTTTTGAAGATAATCGGTCGTTTAAAAATGTACAGCGCGTCGAGGACACTCGTGACAAAGATAGGTCCATGATAAAGTATGTAGTGAAAACAGGCTTCCAATATAGCTATCCCAATTTGTACCACCTAATAAAATATATCGCACACACTTTAGAGAAAGCTCAGACACACCGACACCCAACCACATAACAAAAGAGTGCATCAAGAGGCCCAAACACATCGACAGCTCACACGTTACTAACCATCCGCACATGTTACACAGGCAGTGGAAGGCATGGCTTGCAGACGAGGCCAATCAGAGCCAAACAGCTTTGCTTGCCCAGACCCACCGGGCCCCTCATGTCAGCGGAGCCCTGGACTGAGGGCCCAACCACAACTGCCTGTATTTTCCTGAATAAAGTTTTTTCCTTGTCCTCTTCCACCTTAAAGTTTATTTTGAAAAACAAAAAGAAAAGACGCCAAGCCTTCGCGGAAGGTGCAGCACAGTCACAGCGAGAGCTAGAAGAGTGGCCTTTCAAAGCCTTTTCAAAACACTCATTGGTATGCTACAAGCACACTGTGGCGCTAGGTACCCACAGCGCCATAAATAGTCATAGACGTTGTGTAGTAGGCCAGTATTGACTGCATGCTATCCTTCGTAATTCTTTGGAAAGCGTGGTATACACTACACACTTGTTGAAAATTCAATGCAATTTCTTATGCACTGGCTGACGACTACGAAGAAATATGCGTGAAGTGGGTAGCCGCCACAGCTATCAGGTGATCGAGAACAAGCTTTTGTAATGGGTTAGAGCATTGGATGACCCACTCTTTACGCTGTCCGTAGTCCCAAGCACCGGCGTGACTCAGTGGTAGTATTCTAGGCTGGCACGCCGCGAACCCGAAATCAAGCCCCACTGTGTGCTTGGTACGAAGTTTTTTGGGGGGCGAAGCTCCATATGCTGTGTGTGAGTTGTGCGTCCGCGATGTAGGTAGTAGTAGTCGTAGTAGCAGGTAGCCACCTCCTCGGCCGGACTAGAGGAACGGCAGGTGCGCACCCTTTTCAATTGAGGAGGAAACCCGCACACAATCATCAGTTCTTTTTGATGAAACAACTTATAGAGACGAGTATTGGTGATTTAATCTCCAATAAAGTTTGCTTTGAATTTGATGCTTGCTAAAATAAACTAGTATCAGAAGGACGCACTTTGAGCATTATCTAACCAGAAAGGGTTCCCACGTTAAACTCGCTGGGCGTGACCTCTTTGGTTTTAGCAAGATTTAGCGAAGGTTAGGCCGCAGTGCCATGAATACAGCGAACTATTATATAGCCATGAACTAGAGGCAATGAAAGGTTAGAAATAGACACGAGGTGCAGGCCATAAGAAAGTGCGCGAGTGCTACCTCTCGTTTAGTCCTCGGAATGTCTGCTGGATGGCGGTACTTCTATATGCTGAATATACGATGAAAAGATGCGTGATGGTGGTACTTGGAGTGTTCACTAGATGGACGTACGGATGGATAAACGGACGGGCATAAGGATGGACGCACAGACGGAAGTATGAACGCAAGGACGATCGTACTAACGGACGGACGCCTCGCCCCACTCATCAGCATGCACTCCATGGATATGCTGCCATTTTTTTCTTATTTCGTGAGATAGTGGTTACGGACACCGGCGGCGGACAACAACGGCGCCACGCGTGACCCGCGTTGTGATCTCGTAACAACTTTCGCTGTAAAAAAGAGAAGGAAGAATCGAAAGCCTCCTGGGTATTATCACGAACACACAAGATCACACTCATCACTGACAACAACACGCATGCCATCATCAAACAGCCTTCCCTTACTACATGTTGTTTCAAGAAGTGTGCCTGGAAATCCAAAAACAAATTAAGAAAAAACACATGTACACGCTGCTTTCACAATTTCACAATTACTTTTGTTGTGACTGCAGGTATCTAAGCTCTTCCATGCACACAACTTCATTTTTGGCGGAAAATTTCTTTAAAAAATAAATGGCTAACTTTTTTGCAGAAAACGATTTTCTCACAAAAAAATGAGAATTTTTGTTCAAAAAATATGAGGTGACCACCATGCAGTAAGGGGCTACTGGTCACTTTCTGTTAAAGGCCGTGAAGCAGTCCTCCTTTCTCTGCAAGAGTAAAGGGGCATTGTATGTAGCGCACATCTGTCTCATTCTTGAAAGCGCTTGAACATGTTTCCGAAAACACCGTCATTAGAACAATGAGAAATAATACATTACCACCCTTCTAAAGACCTTAATGCATAGTGGTCACCCACGATGGTCACCAACAACTCATCAAGTATATGTAGCTTTTCATTTCTAGATTTCTTGGTATTAGCAACCTGGACGACATGACGTGCGACGCTATCAACGTAATAATTACAGAACGTAGAGTCCACTTTTTATGGGTGATTTATTTCGTGTTGGTGGACTAAAAGGCAATCTGCTGGACAACGCATAAGATTAATATCAGAAATCACACAATTCAGAACACTTCCGACCTCGACAAGGGGGTCCTGGGAGGTGCCTGGCTAGAAACCCCTCAGAGACAGAGGCACAAAAGAGCACGTCTTTACTCGTCCGAACCTCGGCCGCAATGATGATGATGATGACTACGTCCTCTTGACGACGGCACTCGATGGTGCGCCGCTCAGCGCCAGCTGCGAGCATGTTCTCTTCTTGAACGGTCGGCGCGCCCGCAGCCACCGCTTCCATCTTTTGTGTATCACTATCCTTCTAAGACCCTTCATGCAGGGTGGTCGCCAGCGACATCGCGCTGAGCTCTTTATTCTTTAGCGTTAGATACTCACACCATGATCCCCTGCACTATCAACGTAATAAGGACAGCACATACTTCTTTTATTTATAAGAATGTCTCGGACCCACCCCCTAGCACGCCTTGAGGACAACGACAGCCGGAAGAAAGCAAGCGTAACATGTCACATCGAAGCCCAAACGAAGTAGCGTCATCTCTGTCAGATTGACGAAAGTATTTAAAAATTCACCATTATTATTGCCCGATACAAGGAGCTCGCGTTTTTCAAGAGAGAAAAAATCACAGCATTTCCATGGAGTGAATCATGATGAGTGGGTCGAAGCGTTCATCCGTGTGTCTATCCGTCTATGTATCTATCCATCCGTTCGTGCGTCCGGACGAACGAACGAATGCACGGACGAATGTACCCACGGACGGACAGAAGAACGCTTCGCCCCACTCATCATTATTCACTCCGTGGATATGCTGTGAAAACCGCTAACGCCATCTAGTTATATTCTTCTCAAGGACATATAGATACAACGCCATCTATTGAGCCCACCATGAACTAGAGGTGGCTACATACTACTATCACGACTACAGATGAGGGAACCGTAGAGTTGCCCAAAAAAACTAAAGGGGACTCTGGCAGTGCGATCGTTCAGCGACCATGGGAATTGTGGGTATGACATGAATTTGCCTAATCTTCGTACTTGCGGGCGGCGATTCGCACTTGAGACTTCGTTTATTGCCATGTTTTGGCTTTGTTTTTAGTGAAATAAGAAATCGTTTTCACCTTCGTGAGCTTATTTGAATAGTGATCTTAAAGGTGAAGGTGGTGAAACGCAACCTAACCGTCTGTCTCCCCTTCACCCACTTGACCTCTTTTGGAATCTAGTCTGTGCTTCTTAATGACCAGTGGTTTCTTGCCTTCGCGCTACGTGCCCTGCCCATGGCCATTTTTTCTTGTTGATTTCCATTATGGTGTCCTTAACACCCATTTGTTCCCTGAAACAATTTGCTCCCTTCTTGTCCCTTAGGGTTACACATATCATTTTCCCTTCCATTGCTTGCTGCGTCGTGCTCAACTTGAGTTGAACCTACTTTGTAATTCTCGACGTTTCTATTTCGTATACCGGTAAGATGCAGACCTAAGGGACACTGTTATATGTGTGCCTTAGCAAACGACCTCATTCTTTTCGCCATCTAACTTAATGAAAGTCACTTTAACATGTCTCCCACCACATTAGAAGTTATTCTGAAGAGAGCAAGCATATATTATCTATTGCTTATTTTTTATGATTTTCAGACACATTTCTTCCAACAAGCTACGTGAGCCCGTGTATATGTATAAAGTAATAGTTGTACGCATTGTATGTTGGCTTTACAGGAAACCTGTAAACGTAGAGACGTTCAGAAAATGTTCTTTTTTCTTTGTCTAGTATGCTAAGTCACTCAATTTTTTTAATTCATCGATTAGCAGCTGTAAAGCACATTTTCTTGCAATCTCCATTTCTGCCGTAACAAGAGGTGCATACTGGTACACGGGAAACGCATTTATTATTGTTTTTGTTTGCAGCATTGAAACCTTGGCACTGTGAGAAAAATAAAACAAAACAAATAAAAATTTGCAGGAACTTAACCTCGAATAGGGAGATCCTTGATCACACTTCCGCGCAACAATGCGAGAAGCCTGTGCGTAGCGGAAGGGTAAAAGCGCGACCACTGCAAGCCTCGAAGCTTGTTCGAAAGACCATGCATCTCGTTGTAATAGGGAAGCGCGATAAACTCGGTGGGCACGCAAAATACACGAGCGGAAAAGATCTCGCCTGCCATCACGGGAGACCTACTGGAAGGAGACGTCAGAACACCACAAGCGGCGGTGGAAGGAATGGTGCGTGGTAGGGCCACTTGAGCTGGCCGAAGGGAAAGTGCCTCAGTTGCATCGAGTGCAGAAAGGCAGACGCGGCATTGGCGTAGTACGCCGGGTGCATGGCGGCCGGGTGGAGCTCGGTTGCACCGGCGGGAAAGTACCCGAACGTGGCCGGCGACAAAGGGCTCGTAAAGGGGAATCCCCCTTGGCTAAGCTGAAAGCCTCTGCGGGGGAAAGCCGGTGGAACGGGCCCGACGACGTGCACGTCGGCTGCATCCACGTAGAACGGATACCTCAGCGTAGTGCGTTTTGGAGGGCCAGGCCTTCTTGGAGCGTCGACCTCTTTCGGAGGCGGGAACACGGGAGGCCTGGGCTTGGTGCGTCGAGGCACGTCGTCTGCCGCATCGATCAGGACTTTTGGCGGGACCACATCGCCTCCCGCGCGCTCCGGGTATCCAGAAGGTTCGACACTAACCGAAGATGACACCATCGTCGAAGACGCCGCGGGTATCTCGGTCGGTCCTACCACTGCAGTGTCCTCGCCGCTGGATGCGTTTACCGCCATCAGGTCCACAGAGGGAACTGCTTGGCCCGTTGTGGCGGAGTCCTTGACGGGATCCACGGCAGGCTCGTTAGTCTGCACGTCGGCACGGAATCCCTGCGCGTCCGCAACGTAATTGACAATGCGGACGCGGCCATCAACGTCTCGCAGCCCGTACGATCCCACTTTGACTCCGTTGGTGCTCTCCTCTTTGTGGAAGCTGCTCCCGGAAGAATGAACAACGTCGTAGCCGAACCTGTAGTTTCCCTGACTCTGCAAGAAGCCAGAAAGTATGCTTCAACGCGGTCATATAGGCCGTTTTCATACGGAAAAGTGCATCCGTAACATGCGCGGCGGAGCACGGTTTAATTAGGACCAGCTCTTTCGACAGACATCAGATTACGACATGATTAGTTTCACGAAATCGTGTCTGCCGAATAGATACGAACAAAGTCTGCTATGCTCCCATTGTTAATTTGTTAATTCAGCAATGACGTCGTTTGGCATGCAAAGAATGTCATCGAATGTACAATCGAAGGCAATTACTCACATCTTGCGTCTTGAAGTGTGTACTCGTGCCAGTGCGCGTTGCCGTCTTTTGCTGGTTCACCGAACTGCCACTTGCACATGCAAGTAGAGCGGCCAGCAACAAGGTAGGCTGCTGCTGCGAGATTGAACGCCGCAAATCAGTGAAATGGAGCAAACACGTCGTCGTCACGCATGCAATGGCGTAAACGATGCCTTCGTGCGGCCGCCACAGCCATCAGTCCGGATGCAGCCGGCTGCAACCGGAAAATTAAGCCCTTCACACTCTGGTCAACCGCTAGCACCGATGAAATTCACAGTCCGAGAAGTTTAATTTATACAAATATTTTTATTTTATTTTGGCAAACATTAAAACAAAGCGTTTTGCAGCGTGTTGTTATGCATTGAGGAGGAGGAGGAGTAAAGAAATAAGCGGAAGGACAGGGAGGTTAGCCAGTTCTTAGACCAGTTGGCTACCCTGTGCAGGGGAAAGGTGTGAGGGGAGTAAAAGATTATGAAAAGAAATGTTACAAAGAGATAGAGAGAATATAAAAGATAGCAAAAGAGAAGAAGCAAAATCAAAGAGAATACGACACTAAGGTCAGTCTCTAAAGCCAGTTGTGCCCCGCCGAGGTGGTGTAGTGGCTAAGGTACTCGGCTGCTGACCCACAGGTTGCGGGATCGAATCCCGGCTGCGGCGGCTGCATTTCCGATAGAGGCGGAAATGATGTAGGCCCGTGTGCTCGGATTTGGGTGCACGTTAAAGAACCCCAGGTGGTCGAAATTTCCGGAGCCTCCCACTACGGCGTCTCTCACAATCATATGGTGGTTTTGGGACGTTAAACCCCACATATCAATCAATCTAAAGCCAGTTGTCCACAAAAACATAAGGCTTTCAAAGCCTTCTGGGCTGAGGATGGAATCGGATAATATCCCAGAATCCTTTGTTCCGACAAAGGCAACGTACAATGACAAGCTGATGAACCGCAGTCTTTTTACACACACTGCATGGCATCGACACGGAATGTTTTTTTTTAAGTAAATACGGAAGACCAAGAAAATGATAAGATAAAGGAATCAGTTAAAAAGCCCTCCGTCGTCCACTACATGCATAAGCTGTCACAAAAAAAATGCTGCAAACCGATATGACGTTGGGGTAGTTTTCTCGGCCCCAAGCAAATTTAAAAAAGCTATGTAGCAGGATAGATAGAAAACTAGCTCAACACGCTAAAAGTCAAAAACGGGAATCATAGGCAGTTGTATCTCAAGTGTGAAACAGGTGTTGTATATTTGGTACCATTTTCCTGTAGTCTCATCTACATGGGCCAGATGGGAAGATGTGTCAACACTTTCAAAGGAGTACTGACACGAATTTTAAGTATTTTCGAATTGTTGCTCTAAGGAGAAAGGTTAGTGTGGGAAACCCTAGAAAGAGTATTGCGGTGCCTGGAAACGCATCGACTATACTTTTAATGCCACTACGTAAAAAAAAATAACCTTCGGTTACGATATCGAGGGCGCGGCTTATAACTGAGGTGTCCACGCAGTATGACGTCACGGGTGGCATCAACTCACGACGAAGCAGATCTGTCACAACAAAGAGTGAATTGTCATCCAACGACCCTGATTTATGTGCCGCATGCAGGACGCAAAATTTGCAAAATTAGCGGAACTGCGGTGACTCGTCAAAATAAGCGCAGTGGCTTGCAGATGCTCAGCGACAAAAAACTTTAAAATAAAAGTAAAATATTTTACACGTGTTGCCTTACTTCGGTGGTGTGTGGAGATCGAGAACACGATGAAATGTAAGACGTCCCTCTTGCGATGTCTCAACAGCGTTCTCCTTCGGAGCGCAAGCGTGCGGCAATGCGGTGTTGCCGTGTCGTGTCACCCACGGCATAAAGAAGCAGGCTCGCAATCGTCGTTACGCTTCGCATGATTTTCGGCAATGCTCAGATAACTTGGGCGACTCTATCCATGCGATGACATTCTAACCCTTCTCAGCCCGATGTTGTGCTTTCAAATTTTAAGACTAATGGCAGTGATGATATTTCAGACGTACGTACATGCATACATCGCATCAAGTGCGTGCTCCTGTACGGGTCCTAGCAAGCGCGCCTGCGCGCGAAGCGAAAACGTAATCATGGTTGAGTATTTGTGTAGCGCTGACTGAACATGGTTGAAAATAGTCTCGACAAAATCTTAATTGTTCGCCGCGAATACCACCTTCTGCATGCGCATTCACTACGTGTACACAGGCTTGAAAAAACGCGCTTGGACATTGTAAAAGAAGCACATACGCGGAAGACTGAACGAATTGAACAATTTTTCAAACTTCAACACGAGACAAAACAAAAGGCACGAACTCAGTGCGCAGTATGAACCTAATGCGGTCCAAATGCGTGAGCTGAAAAGAACGCGTCGGTAATCTGCCTCACACGTAAGCCCCGGTCGTTCGTTAGGTAGGTTTACGTGATGCATAATGTTCCTTGCTTGCGGTATTTTATCATACTTAAAAAAGACTAGAAAACAGAAATTCACGCCGAAATTCTACTCTATACACTCAACTCCTTGGGAAAGCATGAATTTGTCTCACAAAAATGGCTCAGTTATTGAGTGTCAAATGCGGAGTCCTCATCTGTTTGCTTCAAGTTTGTCCGGGTCAGCGGGGATAGCAAATAGTCCTCGGCACACTCAAGCAACAGATTACCCCGTGGAATTGAACCTCGCGGAACGTGCAGAGGGCATGCGGTCAGTGTTCGGGCCAGTCTGATTATGCGAATTTATTGAATGGCGCACGACAACCCCTGTAAGCTTCGACGAGGAGCAGCGCGTCGATGGCATGGCAAGCACGTGACACGGTCAAGCGAAACAACACGGACTCACCTTCATGGTCTCCTGGTGCTGGGAAGAAGCCTGAGCATAGCGGCAATCCGACTTGCCCCTTTATAGAAGAGCAGCGCACAAACAGAAGCAAACAAGTGGTCACGTGTCGATACAGCGTAAACGGTGGCCCGGGACAGCGCCGTCACCAGGAAGGAAGCGCCCCGCTCAAGTTCATCCCTCCTCTCCGCGGGAACGTCGTCTTTCGCGGCCAAGGACCGGACAGGCCACGCCTGCGGACGTGCACCCCGGCGGTCAAGCATCCATTAGCCGGCTATTATACCGTCACGGCGAGAGTGACGCGCGCTCGTTGCATGCAGTCGTCCGGAAGAAGAGCTTCGAGACATTCTTCGCACGAACCCTCGGCGTGGTAGACGTCCGAAGCGGCTCCGAACTTATGCTTGCACCCAGCGAGAAAAGAAAGAAAAACTAGAAGTGTGCCACCAAAAACATTGCACGCAACCACTCCATCTTCGAATGGTGACGGAAGAAGGCCCGGCTCGACGAGCCTGGAAAGGCGCTTCCCGGCGGATTTCGAAGAACCACCAATGCATCGCTCGTTCCTGCCGGAAACGAAGCGATGAATACTTGAAAGCGCTTTCGCTCCTCTTGCTCTCATATGCAGTCAATAACACCGAGAAAACGGTGGCGCTAAGTGATTTCCTTGCCTCTATGAATGGCCTTGAGAAAGGACCGATCAGCGGTCTTCGGAGCATAAAAGGTGAGGGGAAAAAAAAAAAAAAAACGGATGGTCAAGATGACAACTTGGTAATCCCTTGTCTCGTCTACTTCGCCTCTTCGACGATGTTGTTTGAAAACAGCGCATATCCAAGATAATATTAGACCACATATAAGCACAAAACACGAAAAGAATGGAACATGGGTGGAACTTGTGTATTAAAAACGAATCAAAACGTCACTAATGCTTCTGGTGATACCGGAAAATTAGTCTTCAGTCAATTTATTATTTCACTGGCGTTTGCCTGTACACAAGTTACTGCATTCCTGTTAATATATATATATATATATATATATATATATATATATATATATATATATATATATATATATATATATATATATATATATAATTTGGACTTTTCAGTAGTGGCCATTTTTCAGGTGCAGTCAGTTAATTTTCTCTTACTCAATGAACAACTAGAGTAGGCGTCACATTTCTTTCTGCTCGTTCATTGCTTGCACACAACTACGGACCACAATTGACCGTACTCTGGCATTCCTCGCACGATCTTCGCGAGCTGAGCACATGCTGCACGGTTTTAGCGCCACCCGCGTAGAGGCGCGTCATGCCAACGAACTGTCGATCGGGGTTCCACCTGCAGCGGCGTGGTTATGCTAATGCGCTGTCGCTAAATGCGGGCTGCGACCGTTCTGACATTTCAGGGAGCGTCCTTGTTCAATCGGTCACCGACCTCGTTGGACGAGAAATCACTATACGATGAGTGGTCAGTCCACGAATATCCCAACACAAATCTAGCAATGACGGCGGTATTACTTTCTTAAATGTATGAAAAGGTATATCACACTTACGAATAAATTATTAAAAACTAGCATAGCTTCTCAGCTCACCTAATTGCATTGTGGTGTTGCGACCTCTCAGAAATCGGTCGAATGGTACTTAAAAATTCAATGTAGCTTTGCGGTATTCAACACGGATACACATTACAAAATGAACAGGTGCTTAATAAAGTTGAATGCACTGTATACTTCGCTGTCAAGCAATTCAAGTAGAGTGCTTCAAAGCTAGATCTCCAGGAGGGACACTTGCACGGCATGTCTCCCTCAGCCTGAACAGGAAAAAGGTCAGGGCCCCTCTTCGCACCATGATTTAATCCAGCGATCACGATAAGCGCCGTTATAGCTGCTTCCGCACCTTTAGCAGTTCGCGCGCAATATGAACCCACAGAGGGCCCAGTCTTGATGTGTGTCATCGCGGATTTATAACGGTCTCAGATGCTTCGCCATTAGCGAAAATTGACCGTCGGCGGCATCAGCCAGAGGAGTAACAAGACAAGTCATCACGCGACGACATCATGGGCGCAAGGTCCACCCCTGGAGGAGCGGGCACTGCAATAGCGGTGACGTGCAGGGTTGGATTGGACCACGTGATCTCACCTCGCTCTGGCGAAGGAAAGCTGGCGGTTGGATGCGTTGTTTTTCACTGCGACTTCGCGATGTTTTCACTTTTGAACAGCGTTGTTTTGCTCTCACTTCACGTGTGCGGACTTGTACAGACTATGCAATCCAGAAAGTTGCACTAAAAGCTATCGGCAGCGCACCACACTGCGCTACTTACGCGAGGGCACTGTAATGGCCGCTGACAATGTCGCCTCTCTCTTTCTATGTTGTTGGGGTTGTTAATTCTAACCCATGGGGTTAAATGAGCACCGACCACGATTGTTCACATAAAAGCAGAACTATTCAGTTACTGCGCGGCACCCTCGTTCCCAAGGAAAAATGAATGTGCAAACAGTTCAATTATGTATATTTCAAATTACGACGCACGTGCGTACATGTGGGGGAAGTTGCCGTCATTGCATTTAAGAATGTGCGCCGTCGTCTGAATTGTCCGAGCAAGATGAAGTCCGGAAGTCCAAATCTTTTTTTTTTCGTTTTTCTTAATTTAAACCTATTCAGATCTATTTAGCAGCCAGTTGCTACTGCGTGTTCAGCCAGCGCGTTCGACGAAACCTTCTTTCTTACATCATACATGTGCTTCTCTCGCCAAGGTAACTTTTACCGCAGTCTGCGCCACCTCCCACTCTCCTTCCCGGGTGTCTCTCCCCATGAAATATGTTGTGAAAACGTTTCAACCTCAGATATTCCCTTCGCTCGTCTAGAAGTTACCAACCAAGCTTTTCTTTTGCTTTTGAAACAGTGATATTTCTGGTAAAATCAGAGCAGAAAAACCAAACAGCCGTGTTTCGATTCTTTCTAAATTGGACACATCACATGCCTTCCACGGATTCCACACAGCACAAGCGTAATCTAAGACAGATCGAATGTTAGTCTTATATAGTTGATTCTTGGACTCAAGTGGTAACTTACTTGCGTTTCTGCGCAGGAAACCTAACGTACGTCCTGCTTTACTTGTGACGAGATTGATGTGACGGCTGCAGGAAAGGTCCGGCGTAAAATATACACCGAGATGCTTGTGTTCACGAACTGTTAGCAGCCTGGTTGAATTTACAGTGTAAAATGAGTCATGTTGCGCCTTTTTCTATAGTGAAACACATATGCACTGTTCTATTTTATTTTTTTTTTTGCATTATTGAATATACGCCACTTTGCACACCATTCAGAAGCTTTGTCAAGATCGTTTTAAAGAGTAGTACAATCATGGGAGCTATGTATAAGCCTGTACAAAACACAGTCGTCGGCAAATAATTTGATATGTGAGGAAATACTTTCCGTCATACGATACTATTTGTTCGGGTGTTTCCTCTTTTTTTTTTCGATGTTTCGGTAATCGTGCCTTTCTCCAGCACCTACAAGTATGTGGATGAAGCTTGCGAAACATAAGCCACATTGTTGAATGCGCGGTGTAGGATGTCAAGGGAGACCGCTTAGCCATCGCGGCTCTCGTCCTCCAAACAAGCGGACTCGCGAACCCGCCACACAGCGTCTCCGTCATGATTGACTGCGGCGAAGTGGCGAATGCTCGCTGATCGTGCAAATCAGGATGAGACAATGTCTACGCCTGTAACTTACCATGTGTAAAGCAGGTTGAGGCAATGTGTAACCTAACATAGAAGTTGTGTTTTCTGCTGGTGCGTTGGCTGTCGATCTGATATCAAATTTTCATGATGTTAATGTTTCTTAATTAGGAACACAGTTGTACATGTTTCTTAATTAGGAATCCAGTTACAACTCTGAACTAGTTTGAATATTTAATATTGCCACCAATTCTAACCTAGAAAAAAATATTTGTGCAGCGCCAGAAATTTCAATTATTTTGTTAATAAAAAGAGATCATAAATATTTTCCAGCTTCAAAATTTGTATCGCTATCACAACTGAGACTGCAGGTTGTAAAGGTGGAATATAAATTCATATTTTAGGCATCAGCCTCGAAAGGCCAATGAAATTGCAATACATGATGTAATCGACACGCGCCTTCGAACATCTAACACTGTGCCGCACTCGCCGCGGAGACAAGCGGCCGCACGCAGTTCCATGAAAGAAGGCGCTGTGCTGAGAAAATGGGTTCGAAGCGGAGACCCGCGGTTGTTTGAACAGCGTCGGTCGACCACACATCAGATAACGAACTTTGTCGAGCCCAGTTATCACGCAACGTAGGCCTCAAAAACGAAAGAAAAAGTTAAGAGCAGACAATCGGCGAAATCTGGCCTCAGGAAGTACGTCACGACTACATAACAAACTAGTGCTCTCACCAAACGCCTGAGGACGCAAGTGCGAAAAAAAAGTTATCAATCCAACGAAATGTTCTTTACAAAATAATAATTACACGCCCATATTTTGCATGTTCCTTATACACAACACAATTTATTCAACACACCTTACGTGGTTCTTTTTGTTGAGCTGCACTGCCATAAACAGCATCTACACGATTCGCACCGATTTGAGTATAGCCGCTTTTCGTTTAAGACAGCAGGTGAGGCACGTTTTCAACGAAGCTTGTTGAATTACATGTTGTTGGGCTAGTTGGGTCATTGACTCAGAAAAAGATTACAACTGCGCGAATAAGACATCATGTAAGAAACAAACACGCCCACATACGTTGAGCTTCGTGTGGGGCGTGTTTCTCTGTTTCTTGCGTGGTGTCCTATTCGTGCAGTTGTATCGTTTTTTTAAAGCTTGCGACAACGGCCAGGTTCGATCGCTAAAGAAAAAAAAAAGACTGTTTGCGGTTGTATACGGCGCCAAGACGTGAACATTGTGCAACGCATGTAGTATAGCAAAGCATTTCTGTGTGATGCTCTTATCATTTTGTGCTTTTTATAAGCTCAGCCTTGCCTTGAAATAAAA